ACGCGTTTACAGGTCTTAGTAGCTAGCGTTTTTCACTCTTAAAGATACCAATAAATAAGGAACCCCCATGACAGCCACAGGCAAATATTAGTAAATCTAAGAGTTTAAGTGATTTCCATGCTTTACACCGAAAAAATAGTCGGCATAGTGTAAACACGAAGGGTTTCTTCCGTTAAAACTAATTTCGCAGATAATAAGAAAACAAAAATGCTTAGACGTTTGAAAAAGATTTGGAACATTTTTTAGGTTTCGTAGAATATTTACGAAAATTGAAAAAAGACTCTTCGACCACCGTGAATCATTTTGAAAGTGTCTTAGATTTTTAGGAAACCTTTCTGAGGGCTTCGAGTTCATTAAAAAGAATGGTTTCGTATTATGCCTTTCTTCGATTTGTTCAGCGACACTGGAGCTGCACTAGCAAGCTGCTTCGAAATTATACTATTGATTCTAAATATAACTCGTGTTTTGGTAAAAATCAAAACGATGAAATCTATTCCACAAAATATTTCACTAATCGAAAAAAAAGAAAACCTGATGATATGATATTTAGTAGTTTTCTTGGGCGTACGAAATTATAAAAAATTTAGCCGAAACATAATATTACTTCCATTGGCGGTTGGAAATAAATTGTTTACCATTTATATTTCTTATTGTCTCCATTCGTTACAATCCAAGACATCGGCCAGAATGAGTTTCTGATTTTGGAAGTCTGAACTCACCAAAAGAGAAAATGGTTAACATATTAAATAATGCAATCTCGCTCGGAAAAATCCACTGCAGGCTGTTGAAAAAAAGAAAAGAAATATTCAAGTCACTTCATACATCACCTTGCATGTTTTTCTTTTCTTGTGTTTTGCAATCACAAATATAAGATAAGAGAAACAGAAAGCAAATAACCATCGTTAGCTCTTTTCTTTTTCGAATGAGTCAATCTCATACCAAGCATTCTCTTATACTGATATCATAGTATTCGAGTCGCTGTAAAAAATAAATTCAGGCGTCGTCATTGCGGTTGCGTTGTCAACAATATTTATGTTGTGATCATCTGAAAGAACATGAGGATTTAATCGACACAAAAAACTTTCACGATTAATCGACCAAATCAATACACTTTCAAATCAACCGAACAAAGGAACTTTACTCGAACCACCTTGTGTTACACCTTTGAATCAATGGCGTGACAATACTCATAGGATAGTGGATCACTTTTATGAAGGGAAACCAACAATTCGAAGAACTTATTCAGTAGAGAAGAAACAGGCAGAACCAAGAGGTTGTTCAAGTAGGATCCAATGTGAGCGAACTGATTGAGGAAAAGAAGCCACATAGTAGACTGGTGTGACTAATGTTTGACCCTGTATTTTCATGGAACTCGAATCCCTTCCAAATTTTTCATTCATACTCAGAAGCTTAAGCATGTTTTTTTTCATGAGGAAGTTGGTTGAAATTACCTCTAGTGGTTATGAATGTGAAACTAAGTTTTCTCTCAATCCCAAGCCACATTGCATCTTTCACTTAATTCAGGTTGCTCAAGGATATCGTCATTGATGGTCTTATGGAAATTGTTTTATCTGAAATGATAAGTTAGTTGTCATGTCGATATGTATGCAAATCAAGAATGCATTAGAAAAACAACCACAAATGCACTGAATCCTTAATTATGACAGCTTTGATTTCTGCATTGTTTTAGTTCGGAAAACGTTCTACTAAGATTGATTGGAAACACTTCACCATTGGTACTTGGTTTAGGAGTCAACATTTATTTCGCAGTAATATTGATTTTACGCTTTAATCATCAGACGATGATAATAACGTGTCCTCGGTTTTATAAAAAGAACCTTTAGAATTAATTGTGAGCAATTCACAGTAATCTTCTTTCTTTTTATTGAAGCAGCGATAGATTTATTTTCAGCAATGAGAGAAATAAAAAACACTAGTAATAATTGCACTTCAATTGTCTGCATCATCTATCCATTTAATTTTGAAATCTGGTACTCCAACCCTAATACAAAACAGACTTGTATTAAAAATCATCGAGTGCGACCATTAAATTGAATATTTCGTTCTCACCCAAAAGAATTCAGAAAAGTTTGATTGGTAGATATCGCGGTGAAGATATTAGAGTGCGTCCTTTGATAGTGCTATGATTCTGTAGATTCTTTTTCACTAATGTTTATAACTTTCATTCGAAATCTCGTCGATTGGTATTAGGCAAGATCCATATATCAAGACTACTAAATTTTGTTCAGATGCAGCATGCTCAAGATTAAATATACATTTATTAACAAATAAAAATTTTGTTCAGTGATTAAAAGTCCGAACTTGATTTAATTGAATGGTGTCATTATCACTTTATTTTCTTCAAGATTCATGAGTTTCTTTTGTTGTGTATCGGCAGATCGACATAATGATTCCTGAAATCATATTGATCATTTCTTCACTAACAGTTCAACTTTTCAGAAGCAATCTTACTATTTGTTATTATTTAGCGCATTTGAAAACATTAAATCTCCAGTTCAACTCAGTTTCCTTAACGCACAAAAGCATCTGATCAGAATATGTGGAGCCACATTGAAATCTTCCTGCTTCGCCAATTATCACACACCAATTTCCTTCATAAGTTTGTTCAAGTCATTCCCTTGTATTTTGCCCGATTTCATACATTTTTGATGATCCATGTGTTTCAATCGAAGTACGCAATGCGCTCAATATATTTATTTTCATCGTATCTATAATTCCAGATGATTGTGTGTCAACATTCCATTTCACCATGGTATCCTTGATTAATTTATAATAAATCTAGAATTATTATCACTGAAGAAGATTAAACGCAAAGAACTCCTAACTATCTCTAAGGAGGAGAGTAAGAATACAAAAATAAGATATAAAACTTGAAAATTTCATTCAAAATCAGTTAATTCAAAATAGTTTTCTGTAATCTGATCAGTCTGACTAACAAGTCACTTTCGGTGAATTAATTTAAAAAATAATAAAGCTAGTGTGTACATCGTATTGGTATCATTAACATTTATTTACTTTAAGACTTTTCAGGTACGAATTAACTACATTAGTTATCATATTTTAATACAAGTGAAGGAGATCGAATTTTTACTGAAGACTAAATCAATGACGAATTCAACAAAATCTTTGATTAAATTAAACGATTATCTGAGTCAATATATTTGTCGATCAGACACAACTATTTGCCAAAACTTTTTATGTTAAGTCTGATTAAAAAAATTTAGCAAGAGCATTTTCTTTCATGTGTAGAATCGGATGAATTAAGATAGTAATACTAGTAATATTTACAAGTTTTTAAAAGTTCCCCTGTAGTTTTTACACGTGAAAACAGCATTTCTTCTTAGATTACTTCATCTTTTTGAAAAAATCGAAACGATTTCATTTAAGGGGAACCCCCCTTAAAAAACTCTATTTTTTGAAAAAATCCTAATTGAGTTGTTGTCATAGAAAAATGCTCCAAAGTTCTCTCTTTGAGAATATATATATTTTTGTGAAATCCGTACTCACTAGGTTAGTATTTTATGCTGATTTCAAATATCATATTTATCTTGCATAAAAAACAGTTACTGATAGTGAAATTAGGTAATTGTCGAAGATTTTGTATAGAATTTCACATATCAACACAGCGAGTCCTTAAAAGTCAACACCAGATATCTTTTTTCCTTGAGATTTTTACATCATTTTGTAGATTGTGAAATGCTCTATCCAATTATATGTAGGAAACGATTTAAAAGCATAATTATTGTAAGCGACTGCTCGCTTTCTTTTCGTTCCATTCCTTTTTACATAGTTATGCATGTTCGTATCTTTTAGTGTTCTTTTGGGAGGAGGATAATAAGATATGTATATGTTACATGTCTGTTTGTTTATCTTATCTTATCTCTCTATTTTTTTGTTCGCTCAAGGATTGAAAAAAGAATAATTGTGAACTTGTTCCTTTTTTGGTAAATAAAAGTTCACTATTATAATTAGGAGAAAACGACAGAAAGTCATTGAAGTGTAAAAATAAGCCGGCTGCAGCTACGTATTCACTACCAAATGATATGAAAAGATTCTTACTTCAGTCTCGTTGAGAATGTATCAGATAAAGGGAAGAATTCTCTATCGATTCATGTATACAGACATTTGTTTAACTTTTACTTTATACCCGAAATTAGTCGATAATTAGATACACCCAGGGGTAAATTTTTAGTCAAAAATTAAGTCTTGAGAGGACTATAACTCGAGTCAGGTATATTGAAACAATCTTAAAATTGAAGAATATATGTAAAAAAATGTACTCTATCAAATCAGACAATGCAATCGAAAATTGAGGCGACGGGGGTTCGCCACTCCCCTCCCTCCGAAAATAACAGTATCCAAACACTATAGACGATGCTCGCTGACTTCATTCAATAAATGCGCTAAGAACAACGCGTCTAGTTATACTGGAAAATAATCCACTTTTGGCATATTTCTATTGAATTTGAATAGAAAACAATTTTTTAACTCACTTATCGTTTACCTCAAAAGATGAATTTTGGTCACAAACAGCGAAACTTTCCCTTCAGGGTTTAAGGTATAATCATATTTTGTTTTGCTTTGCAGCTCTAAGTGCGAGTAAATTTTTTCCTGATCAGATTTTTTATATTTTATTCTGGGGTTGAGAAAAATAAAATTTAATGTCGTGGGATGGACGTTTTTGGATTTATTTTGACCCCATATCTATTGAAATGCTCATAGAAAATGAATGGAAAGAAATTTCAAGATTCTGTTGGGACTAAAGTTGCATATGATTGTTGGCTTTAATTTGAAACCACCACGAACTCTGTAGCTCTTTCAATGGCGGAGCTTTAGGAATTCTGCTGAACCTATATATATGACTCATCAATAAACTGGAACTCCATTGTAGCTCGACATATCAAGCTGACATTTTTACTGGAAGAGTTTCTCACAATACCCACACAAGTTTCTATTCTAGTGTGTAGTTCAAATTCAGAATGTTTCGTGCAAAACACGGAATCGAAAGTCCTTTAGCATATTCGATAGCTTCAGTAGTTTTCTGGTGAGCATGAGAGTTTATAACAAATTTAGTTGAAGCATAATACAGCTTCCCATTGGCGGTTGGAAATAAATTGCTGACTATTTATATTTTTTATTGTTTCCATTCGCTGCAATTCAAGACATCGTTTAGAACGAGTCTCTGATTTTGGAAGTCTGGATTCATCAACAGAGAAAACGGTTCTCATATAAAATAATGCATTCTCACTCGGAAATATCCACTGCAGGCTGTTGAGAAAAAACGAAAAGAAATATGCAAGTCACGTAATACATCACCATGCGTGTTTTTCTTTCTTACGTTTTGCAATCACAAATATGAGATAAGAACAACAGAAAGCAAAAAACCATCGTTAGCTGTTTTCTTTTTCAAGTGAGTCAATATCATACAAAGTATTCTCTTATACGGATATCATCGTATTCGAGTCGCTACCAATAACAAATTCTGGCGTCGTCATCGCGTTTGTGCGAAATCAATCAGTGTAAACGTCCATGTCGGGCTTTGTGTTTGTGTTGTCAACAATATTTATGCCGTGATCATCTGAAAGAGCATGATGATTTAATCGATGCAAAACTTCCACCATTAGTCGATCAAATCAATACACTTTCGGATCAACTGAACAAAGGAACTTCACTCGAATCATCTTGTATTACTGCTCTGAATCAATGGCGTGACAATGCCCATAGGACAGTGGATCAATTTTATGAAAGGAAACGTCAGCAATTCGAAGAGCTTATTCAAGAGAAAAGAAATAGACAGAAACAAGAAGTTATTCACATAGGATCCAATGTGAGCGAACTGATTCGGGGACAAGAGGCCACAAAAGAGCAGATCGATTCAATCACTGATTATGTTCGAATTCTCGAACAAGACATTAATAAATTTGAACAGAATCAATTCGTCCTTACTCCGTTGGTAATTGATGACAGCCTAATTTCGATTCGACAGGATGCTGCGTCACATGGGCTTTTGTCTTCGACAACGAACAGTGCCGATTCCATATTGAGTAGTGGCAACCATCCATCGGCACGTCAAAAACGTAATATCGGTACTGCAGGTAACGAAAGTACAAGTTTTTCGATGTAATGTTTTCGTATGACTAGCTGAAAGTTCTTCTAAGCTATTAGTCTACAATAATCATATTTTCTGAAAGACTTTTCTTGACAGGAAAGGTTTAAATTCATCTTATAGAGAGTCAGTCATCGTCATCTTAAAACGATCGTGCGAATGAAAATGAAATCTTCAAGTCAAATAACATAATTTTGTCTTTTCACGTGCTTTGTTTTACCGAAGATCGTATAAAATAGTAAGATTAGATTTTTATTACAGATAATGTTTTTTCAAAATCGATCAAGCTGAATAGATGGGAAATTGAAGAACAAACTGGAATTACGGATACCATGCGAATAAATATATTGAGCATAATAAGCACTACGATGGATACACATGATCGATCAGCAACGAAGGCAGTAGCGAGAGATGTAAAAAATTGGCTCGATGGAACTTATGGAAAAAGTTGGACAGTGGAAATTTATGATAAACAGGAACATCAGCCACAGCGTAATATTACGAGTTCAAAATATTTCCAGGTGAAAGATACAAAATTCGGATGGACTATTTTAATGTTTAAATAAACAACAAGATAAAAAATGGATGATCTACTTCACGATTGATTAGATCGTTCATGTCATCAAGACTGTCGAATATTTTTCTTTACGTTCTATTGTTTGTTTAGGAATTCTAAAAATGCTAACTTTTAATTGTGATGACGAACAAAAGTTTGAGGTCGAATAGAAACGTGCGGTCTACTTTTACTGCAGCTGAGAGATCCATGAACAAGCGAATAACAACAGGACCAATGTTGTCTACCGATAGATATCTTCTTGCCCAAATTGAAGCCACATTTTAAATAAGAACAATCTTGGAGCTTTGAATGCCACGTTCCTGTATGAGTACAATCACCACCGTTATTGTCTTGCATAAAGAATTGACGACCACATTTTTCGCAAATGGAAGACGCTAGCAAGGTGTCTACTGCAGGCTCCTGAGAATTAAACAAGAACTAATTGTCTATTAGCTATGAATGGAAACAATTTTAGTTTCCTAAGCTTAGAGAAAACTATCATTGAGAATAGAAAATCATGAAATGATCTCCATACAGAAAGATATATTGATCTTTATTCACCAACAAGTGCACCTACTCTCATAGCCACTGACGAAATTGTTTTTGCCGGCTCTTCGCTGTTGTAAAAAGTATTCTCCAGTGAATTCGGTAGTTGATATTTACTATGTCCTAAATACAAGAGATTGTATATAGGAAAATAAAACATTCATCGGAAAGGATCAGTTACGATAGCACGACCTCATCCGTAATCAACGGTCTTAAGTTTATAGAAATATTTCAATGCAAGACTATCTACCTGATCTTAGTACCATTGGCGCTTGCTCTGCTGACTTGACTATTCTATCTGTCATCTCAGTATAGACTATTTCAATTAAATGAATAGCCGACTGCGTATCGTTATTATCAATGATGCGAATATTCGATGGTTTTTCAAGCATTTTTCGAATTTTATTCATTTGGTCCATCCATTTCGTCAACTCTGCTTCAGTATAATCGTCTGATTCACGAACCGCTTTTATTTCTTTAGTGACTTCATCCAAGTATAGCTTCAGTCGTTGTCTACTATGAGCAAGATATTCTTCTAAATCTCGCCGAGCTTCTTCAGCAGCAATTTGAATCTTTGCAATCGACTTTTTCTCCCAATTGTTTACGTAAGATAGCAGAGAATGCGTAGTGTTTTCTGGTACTAGATCTCGTTGAAGTAGGTCATGCTCTTGTCCGATATCATCTAATTGTGTCGAAAGTTCTTGTCGATGTTCGTTGAAATGTTTTGCACAAAACCATTGTTGACATCCACCACATGTGGCGACGCCTCCACCTTTATTACAGTTAACACACGGTTGCTTTGTCGTACCTGAAGCCATGTTTAAGTATCTGAAAGGCTCAAATGGTTCGATTTTTTCCTGCGTTTCGATGAAAAGTGAAAGTATGTCGATAACAACAAACTTTTTTTGTCGCTCTCTTCACGTATGAATTCACAATGTGCAGAGAATAAATAACATCAAAACAAAATTTTTTTTCAGCTCTCAATCATTTTCCAATGACGGATTGACAAAATTGACTTATCAACATCTCTTTCATCTATATTAATTACCAATCGGATACTCTTCCTTGGTATTTCGAGTCGAAATTTTCGACTCTTGTGTATGAATGAATCTGCGCAATCTTTCTGCTTGTTAAACATCGTGTTTTAAATTTCACACCAGTAAGAAACGTCTGTAGTTTGATTAATTATTCTTTATATTATAAATAGTTTATTTTATCAGGTAAAATGTATTTATCAACTTTTCCTAATAACATGAGATTAGCATGCTATTGCAAATGATAATAAAAACAAAACAAAACACATGAGAAACTTCAATAAATATGAAAATATGTAATTTTAAACAATCAAACGTCGTTCTTGTTCATTAGCAGGATTTGAATTTTTTGAGTTAACATCTCCATTATTAATATTAATTGGCTGATTTGCTGGCACATTCATTGTTGGCGTACTTGGCAAATTAACAACAGGATTTATTGAATATAGATAAACAGCATTTGAAACAATAAATATCGCAATAAATGTATATATACTAACAGGTATACCAAAAAGCATCCATGCTAAAATACTTGTGAAAAGTAATTCAAGAGCGCTAGCAAATGTTTTCAATATAGACGTCATTGATTTAAGAAATAATGATGTTACAATTCCTACAGCTGCATTATTAATTATAATCAATAGTATAAGAAACTGTTTGCCTGATAATATTATACTGATTGTATCAAAAATTTTATGGACAACTGATAATGTTGGTTGTTGACGATCGAAATACATTAATAAAACGAAATTGCATAGAATTGAATCAACATACATAAATGCATTTTGTAACATTGTATCGACTTGATTTGTTCGATCGCTTTTTAATAAATATTCATTATAGACACCAGCGAAACAAGAGCAAAATACTTGAACGAGAATCCATATCAAATGTACATTAATTATTGATGGAGGAGTCGTAATTGTTTGTTGATTTGATTGAATTGTTGTTGTTGCTGTTGTCATATTTCTTGTCGAGATAGTAGTTGATGATGACGATATGGATGAATGTTCAAATTGTTTTATAATACAACCCGATGTAAGAAGAATGAGGGATAACCATTGCAGACGTGTTAAACGTTTATTAAAAAGAAACTAAATTAAAACAATAATTTGCAGAACAAAAATGACATTCTTCCTACTTGAAATATAACACCTGTGACAACAACCCGAAATTGGAGAAGTAGAAAATAAGTGGTTGGATCATAAGATGATAAATTTATGAATGCCAAATTATTATACAAACAATACAATGCCGACGGAATAAAATACAGAATTATTACTAAAGAAAAATTATTCTCTATAAATCTATTTCAATAATAAATAATTTATCCGAAACTACGGCGGTAATAGATGCGCAAATCGGGAAGGGTTGTGTAGTTGAATTTCTAAAGTAGGCGTGAAGGATGACGCTTTTGACTGTCAAAAAACGTTTAATAAACACGACAAATCTCTATTGATGAACTAGTACAATGAGTTAAAACTCACAGACGAAACCATAAAGGCATTGAAGTATCGATTGCTTACTTATCGAATGGAAGCTTCCGTGATTATTCCATAATTTTGGATATCTATTTTCATTCTATATAATACATAGATTTCAACAAGAGAGATTTTCACATGTTTTCAATAATCAGCGAACCGACACCATCGTAATTAGTATATTTCTATTGATATCATATTTTGTTTTTTCATTAACAACTATCAATCGAGTCAGAAGGTTTGATTGGTTAGATAATTATTTAGCAGATTTAACAGAAACAAACAGATTAAAATCAAAAACCCTGTGCCAAGATTATAAATCATTATGTATTACCTACATCTCCGTTCTTTTTTCATAGGCTTACGAAAAATTCGATAAAAATTACAGAGGTTCTGCAAATATTTTCAATAAATATAACCTCTTAGTACTCGATATACCGATGAAATAATCCTACTTTGTGTCTTCGGTTACCTGTTTGGTTATCTGTAATTTCTCTTCTCATCTGACTGAATGTATGGCTAGAAGAAAAACAAAATTCATAGTTTGAAGTATTTTCGCAATGGATATTTACGTTTGTCGATAAATCGTTACAGCGCTTATCAGTTTAACGCATTCAGTAAGTAAAACGACAACAATTGTATTGTAATTATATGAATTTGTTGCCGTTTTTGAGCCCGTGACTAACAAACCTATTGAAAAATAATTATCTACTAACACAACTATAAACTCCTTTAGAATTTACCTTGATTTATAAATAGGCCCATATACGATATAAAAATAAGAAAACTCCATCGGGTTGGAAACAGATCTTTTAAATTAATTTGTCGCCGTAAAGAAGAAAACATTGAAATGGATCTTTGAAAGATGAATTTATCTAGAATAGAATCTATTTGTATTTCAATCTATTCATAACATAAGTATTCTCGACTAATAAAAATTCTTTGCCTCAGATATTCCATGTCGAAAGGACATGCGAAAGTAAACTACGGGTATCTATCTATCTGAATAGTACTTTGTGAGAAAGAAAAACATAAATTGATCTTTTATCTTTGAAAAAATATCACGAGAACAGCTGTGACATCGGAATGCCATTAGTACTCGTGTTTATGCCGTAAAAACGAATATTTGATAAAAGAAAATTAACAATATAAAATGAACAGTAAGTTATTATGTATTATTGGTACTGTCTGTTGTTGCCAATGGTAATGACAATAAATCTAAATTAGAAAAAGAAAATAATGCTTAGCGGCGAATATTTATCAAATGCATTCAGGTGATCTTCGAGGAATGATATAGAAAATTCTATTTTATTTTCGTCACCTTAACATATACAAGCTCGACTAGGGAATATTATTAGCATAATTTATTCAGTTCTGTACTATGGTTAGAATGAAGAACTTCAAGCTAGGAGTAGCTTAGGATATACACCTTTGCCATTCAGCAATCATTATATATGTAATCCAAATAGGAGCTTTTCGCTCCCTTTGCTACTATGATATTAAAAGTATTGAGATTCAGGAATTTTTTCTGAGAAAAGAATGTCTCAGTGGAGCACGTTCGTCCAGCCCTCTATTATGAATAATTCGTTACTCCACTCAACCCAAAGTTTAGCTGATCTGTGCTTTTATTCAACTGTATAATCGATTAATGCGACACATGTATGTTGTCGATGTAGGTATATTATCAATTTACAATCGAAGTTTGTCGTAATTCTAGCTTTTATTGTAATAAAAGGACAAAAGAACAGCTGTTACACTTATTCATAGCTTTGTTTTCAAAAAAGAGACACAATTTGGTGTTAATGGAAAAGAGTGACAAGGAAAATAGCGTAAAAAAAAGAAAAGAAAATATCCATCAAATGGAAGTTTTCTTGGTCTTTCTGTCGCTATTTTCCACCAAGTTCCACAATTTGGTCGCATTTAAAATCAAATGAAGTTCATGAAAAAAGCAAATTTTCACTAAATTAAAACGATTGATTATTTACTTGCAGCTTGATTAACCTCTTCTTCGATTAAATTAAATTCTTCTTTTTCTTTGTTTATTTCATCTTGTTGTTCAAATTGAAGATCGTTCAGATCTGCAAGTATTTGAGCACACGCACTAGTTACATGTTCTATGTGTTCTTCTTCATCAGTCGTAAATAAAAGTTCATCGGGATTTGCTTGTATCACAGGTTCATGTATTGGCACAGCGGCTAATGAAACCGGTTCAGTTTCAATAGATGTTGGTACTTGTGAATTGACTATTTCAGGTTGTAATGGAGCCGCAGCAACATCGGGTAATAAAACTTTTTCACCTTTCTAAACTGTATCAATTAAAATGAATGATAGAACAAAAAGTAGAATTGTAATTAACCTGGAAGAAGTTTAAATAAGCATCATGTGTACGTAAATACAGTTGTTGTAGAGCATAATTAAGGAAAGTTTTTGTAGCAACACGTCTTTCTTCAACAACTACAGGATCGAAACGTTCTAAAATAAATATTTGCTTTGATTTGTGAAATATCTTTTTTTCTGGTATAATTTAATAAATACCCATAAACCGTGTTTTTTCTGGAAAATCAGGAAATTTACCAGGACGATAAATCGCTTGGTGATAACGTTGCAGTACTTCATATAATTTTCGTATATCATTATATCGTTTCCAATGTACAAGCTATAAAATTTAAAATTTCATACCATTCATCAATAGAAAGATTAAAGAACAATCACTGATAAATTTAATCCTATCAAATTCAAGTTTTGCACGAGGGAGTCGAACAGGGACAAAATTTATAAAAGCTATCTCCGCTACCACCCCGTCTCGTAGAGACTTATACAAAAATGATTGCGAAGACCGAGAGTTTCTCAACTTCCAGGCGGTACTCCTGATAGTTGATGAAAAATCAATAACTATAGAAATCTTAAATTGACTAAATATATCAACCGTAGAAACATACGAATAATCATAATCTCCTACGGTTGTAAAAATACTTAAATAGTAAGATGACGATAAATTAGTGCATGGCCTTCAATCAAATTAATATTGTCATATAGAATCTAAGAAGAGCGCAATACTCAAAAAACAATTTTTCATTTAAAAGTTAATCATGATTAAACTTATTTCATAATTACAAGAACATACTGAATAATAGAAAGAAGAATTTCGATTATTTTAGAAATCTCACATAGTTTGACGAGTTGTCAATGCGTTGTGTCGCATTGTAATAAAATGAAGAAAAAAAATCATTCATGTCGCATGCAACAATTTATTTGCTTATAAAAAGAAAAGAAAAGATGCAAGACTCCGATCAGTAATATATGAAATGAAGAGAAAGAAAAGTAGAAATAGTACACCTGCTTGTCTAGCCGCGTAAAATCATCATGCCATATACGAGAAAGAGAATCTCTGGTTACCAATATATATATGATGTATATATTGAGTAACATGATATAAACAAAACTTAAAAGATTCAACCCTGTCTTGAATCTGACGATTTTAATAGTTTGGTTCTGTTATGTGACACATACTTGATAGCTATTCTCAGTTAATTCTTTCGGAGTGACTTGTAAAACAATTTTATAAATTGTATGGCCACTCGGATGACGAGCTGTTTCTGGTACATCAAATGAGCATAATTCACTATCTTTTGTGATTGATGCCATAAATATTTTTTCTAAAAAATCCAAGGAAGATAAAGTAATTGGAAGTCTAGAGTTGTTAGGTAGCTGACTGTTATAGATAAGTAAGAAAATTAATTAATTTCTCAATGGTCATTTCAAGTAACTAATCAGAATTTCGAATTGAACCACATTGAGTTATTGGAATATAGAAATTGAGTTCAGTATGATATCCTTTAATATTTAAATCATTGTAATTTCGACATCTTTTTCTGAACAATTCTAATAAATTTTCACATCGATTGTCGCGACACAGTAAACTAGCCAGTATACACGTACGACACTTCGCTATTACGTTACATAGCTACTATTGAAATCCAAATTCATGCAACGTTTATTAACTCTTCGGGGTTTGTATTGAAATTTCTGTCTTTTTTCAATTCCCTATTTTCTTTTGTTATTCAGTCGGTACATCTCGATTGAATCGAGCTGCTAATTTATGTCAATTGAATTCGAATAAATTAACATTCGAACGATATGCAACGAACGGACAACCCAAAGAAACAATTGATCCACTGCCGAAAAATACAATGAAATTAACCGGTAGCGAAAATGTTCGGTAAATAAGATAATTATTCAATAAAGATATTTTATATTAAATTTAAGGCCAGTTTATGGTGCTCTTGCAAGTGCAGCAGAAACTAAAAAGGATACAAACACAAGCGATAAAACAAGGTGCGCTAATTTTCATACTAAACTAAAAGAAATGAGGAATCCGTGCATTGTTTTTCCAGTGCTAATCAAGACGTTCCATTTCAAAGTGAAAGTGATCTACGTGATAATGTATTACGAGAGTCATTGAAATTCGTTGAAGAACTTGGCTGGACAATAGATGCTATTCGAGCCGGTTTGTTTTTACTTTTTTTTATTGTTACTATCTCCAAAAAAAAGCACCCATTAAATAAATGTGGACCTATGAGCAACATTTTGATTAATAAGAGTTCGATATAGGATGGTAACATATAGCTATATATTGTTTGATGTATATTAATGCAGGTATACGTGCAAGTAATCAATCATCGACAATTGAAGGACTATTTAGTAGTGGATATGACCTAGTGGAATACTTTCAACGTGATGCTAATTCAAAAATGTCAGCGTATATGAAAGAGCAAATGAAGAAGTAAGATTATTAGTGGGAACAATTTCCGAAATAATTTTTTTTTAAATTTTATAGAGGAGAAATTCAAGGAACTCGTTTACTTATTGATAGTCTGAAATATCGACTTGGTCTTGTTATACCTTATGCAAGTACATGGGGTCAAGTATGTAATATGTTTTAGCAATCTGATAATTTAGTCCATAGGTTTTAGCTCATACAAAAGAAAGATTTTTCGAAACGTCGATATCTTTTCTTCATGGATCTAAGACTGTAATCATCATTTTTTTGTTTTGTTCTCTGTAGGCCATGGCACAAGGAGCATTGCCTCAAAATTCAATGCGTAGTTGGAAAAGTATATTGGAATTCTCAAGTGAAGCTTGGTATGGCATTGGTGATACATCGACGGATGTAAATAATGATATACATGTGTACTCTCGATTATAATTATTATTTTTTCTTTCGTATCTAGATTAATTGGTATACGAAGCGACTTGTACTTGCTACTGTTTATAAGAGTGCAGAAGTGTACATGCTTCAAGATCAATCTCAAGAAAAACTCGATACAATGGACTTTTTAGAAAGACGTCTGCATGATTTTCAGACTCTTGGTTCTCTTCGAAATACTGTATGAATAAGTTGCTTTTTTTATTTCGTATTTTTCATTTAAGTTCTAATTTAGATGTCAAAATCTTTGTCGGACTCAGCCCAAATTACCAGTGGTATTTTCTCCGTGGTATGTCGATAAAAACGTTTTTTTAATAAGATTACATCGATTTGTAAACTTTTATTTAGATTCGTAATTTAACTTCTCGTCGTTAGACCAAGCCTGAGTTTTGTATATTTCTGATTTCAGCAAAATATTCATTTTTCTTTAAAGAATATAAAAGAAAAAAAGGTTTCATTAAAAAATTAATTTTCTTCATAACATCTTTGGTAATACTACAGAAACAAACACGAATCAAGATGAATCACCCTCATTCGAATCGCCATCCTGTTGGAAGTTAATCTAACGAAACAAAAAATAAATAAAATCATCTTGACTACTGATAAAAACAAAACTCACATCGTTATCACTTTCAGTTATTTGCTCAATTTCATCTTCATTATAATCATTTTCTACAGCAAGATCCAGATCATCAGACAAACCGGAATAATCATCATATTCAGATGGACTCGGTATAAGTTCATCTTGAGTCTGATCACCATCAATATCATCATCCGACACATCTTTAAATCATAAGATCAGAATTTAGTTTTTTCGCATCGAAGAAATCTACCTTCGAAAATTAACGATGGGTTTGTTGACAGTTTATCATTACTGTTGGATAATTCCTTGGTATGATTATTGATCTAAACGGAAAATTGAAAATATTCTTTCCCTTTTGTACAACTTAGCTGGTAAAAGCAACTGAAATATGTTCGGTTAGCAACTAGAGAATTGAAATTCTTCAAAAACAAATATTCAGTATAACAGCTAACACATTTTAATCTCGAATGAATTGTACTTATAAGCTGTGATAATCACAGATTTTATCGAATCTAATAATAAATGTAACAATGATAACTGAGGACGAAATGTATCGAAATAAAAAGGTATGCAAAATATGAATGATCTGCCAATTTGTCTATGAAATAAAACCTAGTCATTGCAAATCAAATGTATGACTATCTAACTACGAAGAGTGACGCAAAACTGTCATTGCACTTTTATTATTGTCATTTTAACTGAAGAAAGAAATAAAATAAAAATGTAGAAGAATGTTTGTGTTACTCATAGACCGAGAAAGAAAATTTGTCCTTGAGTAATCTATTCATCAATTAATACAATCATATTCTAATAGGACTCTATTAAGTAATTTGCCTATATAACTTTAATTATATGTCAAAAATGGTTTTCAACTATTGGTATGTTTGATTTATTTGCTCGATACAGAAGATATCGTTTTGGAAAAAAATGACGATTTTGCTTTTTATTTTTTACTTAATTAGTCATTAGCATGTTTTTTTATGAGATATTCACATTGGTCTTGGCATCAATGGATAACATGAGTTAAAATTATATTCATATATTACTTGTGAATCGATAAGTAACACTTTTCCATGAAGACGAGCTAATTTTGGATAAAGTTTCGTATGTGAGTCAATCAGCTCGTACATCGGAGCAAGACGTTCCGTAATATCAGGATACTAAAAAAATGGTTAAGACTTCTTCCATGATAAAAATATGTATCTATTTTTGGCTCACTGTCATAAGAGAAGATGAATGCATAGTTAATAATACACGTAACCATTTTGATGCAATAAGACCTCTAAAATAGTAATGAAAATTTTTAACTTTCTAAAATTATTGTTTCCTTTGACTTACTTTTCAGAACTTTGATAAAGATATTTATTTAAACAGTCTACTAACGCCAATAGACTTGAGCTTGGAAGTGTACGCAGTGTTTTTTCAATAAATTTTTCATTTCGACTGCATACTACTTGCTATGAAAAAGCAAATAGATGAGTCATTGTATCTTCGTCTTTTTTTATTGCAACCCGCAATATGTAAAAAAAAACGAACGATCAATCATGCGTGTAATGATATGTACCATTACGCCTAAAATTACCTCGATACCGATTACACAATAAAAAGATCTCTTTTTATTTAATTTAGATTCTTAGCAGCTTCAATGGGTCAATCACAATCAGCTAAATTCGACAAAATGTTTACATTAATATGTACGAATAATGCCACGGAATTAGAACGACAGATACGTTCATGCTCATCAGCAGAACAAAAAGCTAATTTATCAAATTTAAGTGACACCAATCAAGGAGTAACATTACTGATGTATGCTGCATTTTATGGAAATAAAAATGTATGTCATCTATTAATTGAAGCAGGTGCAGAGGTATTTTCTCAGGACCATGAAGGACGAAATGTTCTTTACTATGCAATTACTAGTCAATCATTTCATGTTGTAAAGTATTTACTTGAAAATGTTATTACTGAAGTCGATAGTGATGCTCGACAGAATTTTATCAACAACAGAGATTCTATGGGAGAAACGTGTCTACATGAAGCCGTTAAAATTCATGCTGTATCGTGTATAGATTTAGTTCTTAAAGCTGATATCGATGTAAATATTGTTAATAACGATGGTATTACTGCTCTTCATCGTGCTGTTGATCTTGGTAAGTTCTTGAAAATTTTCTTTCGGAAAACAAAATATTGAGTTGGTTTTGTTCCAAAAACAAAAAGGCCATCAAGACATTGTTCGTCTTTTATTAAAATATAAAGTCGAGTTGAATACAAAAGACGCATCGGGTTGGACTCCGTTGCATGTTGCATCAGCACATAATGACCTTGAACTAGTTCGTTTACTCGTTAACCGTGGTGCTAATCTTAATGCAACCGACTCTCAAGGGCATTCCCCACTGAAATGGGCACGCGAAAGCGGTTCACGTGATGTTTTTACATATCTCAAAGCTCAAGGTGCAAAAGAATTCGATTCGTCTCAACCCCAACCACCACAACGTTCAAGTAAAAAAAAGAATAATGTACCGTCGACTCAAGATATCGCAAATAACTAACAGAGAATTCGGCGGGCGGTGCTGAAAATTTCGAACTTTCACAATTTTTATTTTGCTAAGTTAAATACAGTGCATCAATTTATGTAATCATAAGAGAAACTATTTTTGTATGAACAATATGAGTTCTGCAAAAAAATATTTGTTAAAATTTTGAATCCCCGGAACCTTACAAAAAAGCACTGTTTTGTTTTGTTTTGTTTACTTACATCGAGAACATTTAAATCATTATTTTGTAATCCTTGAGTTAGTAATACAGCTAGATTATCACTGGATGAACTTTGCTGTTTTTGTTCAGTATTTATTGTATTATTCAATGTTTGATTGTCTTGTGAAGTTGGTTGCGTAGATAATATTGCCTGAGAACAGTCATAATATAGATTTTGGTTGTTTGAAAAAACAAATGTATAAATTAACGAACTTTATTGGTCGGAATTTCTGCTGCATGTCGTCGTTTTTTCGCTGTATTCTTTGTTAAATCGATTCTATTTGATTTAAAAATTTTTTTCTTCTATTAAATAAAAATTATTATTAACAAAAAATATAAATATATGCTCTATAAAACAGCAAACTTTTTTAATTTTCTTATCAGTAGACGCCTCTGTCAATGAACATTTTGAAGATTTATTGGAAACCATTTTATTATTAGAAATTAATACTAGAGAATGCGACGGATTATTACAATCGAGTAATTTCAATATCTAGGCAATTTCTTTTATTCAAAGTCTACTATAGAAATATGAAAATAACCAATCATATTTTACCGTAATAGAGGACAGACATAAAAGGAATGTTGACGTACGTAACTTTTAGGTATCACATGCCCGCGATTCTGGCACTACGTCCTTTCATGTCAACACTGGTAATTATAGGACGAAAAGATACTGCTATAGTATACTTATGCAAGAGATAGATATACGACGATCATAAGAAAATCGAGCTATTTTTGACGAATACTTGAATTGGTTTGTCGGAATTCGATCTGAAGGAATTTTTTCGGTTGTCGAATATTCATTTGTAATAGTGAAGCCTTGCTTTTATCAATCTTCATAGATATATTTATGTCTACGAAGATAAACTGTATCAAACGCATACTCAATTAATTTATATTCAAAAATGGTAAAAAGAAAACAAAACTGATACAATGTTGTCCGTTTGATTAAAAACAAAAATTTGAGAATAAAAAATAAAACAAATTCAAGTATTGAATAAATTATCATCACAGATTTATGCTTTCTTTTTCTGCGACTTTGACCTTTTTGGTTCTCGTCTTGTAATATTTAATCGCAGACGTATTTGTTCAAACGATTCTTCTGTTAATGTGACATTAACGAACGTAAATAATTTATAAAAAGTCACATCATGTAATTTGTACGTCGTTGAATTTATTCCATCACGATCATAGTTATATCTTGAATAAAGTATTGCATGTCGATCGGGATTCACCACACTTGATGTATGATTAAATGAACGTATCATTTTATAACGTGCTATTTCCATCGGATAACGTACGATTTTCTTTTTTAATTTTCTAACAACACGTTGATACATATCGTCGTCTTCGCCGCCCCAACCCCAATAAACTGTTGGATAACCATTAGCACTAACAAAATCAGATATACTAAACGCTGTAACACCACCGAATAAAGTCGAATAGAGTAATCGATAACTGAATTTGTCAACGGCAACAGACCTACAGAAAAAAGAACATCGTATTTAGTAGAATCGATCTATAGTTGAAAATATTCTTATCTTTTTCAATAAATGTGTTATATCAACATTAACTTAAAGTGCTGAAAATGAAAACAAATTCTATTTTTAGAATTCCGTCGAGTTGCAATCTACTGCTGGACTTTTCACAAGTCATTTTCGTCTATTCGAGTTTTTTTCTCCATTTCATATCTATAGAACAACTAAAGGCTTACTCCCGTTTTTGGGTCAAATGATATTATCCTGTGGGCAAGAAAAAAAGTTTTGCTCTCAATTAAAATAATGTATTGTCTAAACAAGACGTATCTTTTTGACTGCCAGCGTTAACGTAAAAAAGATGCTTTTATGTATTTCTGGTTGGCCAAGAGGCATACGATTGAATAATTCTTAGGTCGAAAAATTGCTCATCGCTTCGAAAAATCAGTATATTTCAAACTTACATATGTTTTGGTCGTTCTCCACATCTATAAAGATTTCTTAAATCTTCTGGTACAAGATCGACATCATGAAAAATAAAACAATCAAACGAATATAACTTCATCGCTTCAATATAGCCTACATTGAATAAAGCGGCTCGATTGAATTTTTCATTTCCATGCTGATTAACAATAAATATGGTATAATCAAGTTTTTGTTGTTGAAGAAATGGATGTATATTATGAAGAAAGAGTTTTAAATGCAAAAGACGATTTCTATAGCATACAATAATGGCTAAACGTTGTTGAGCTTGACAAGTTTTCGGAAAATAATGTCCACCTAGATGTAAATCAGTACCATGATGTTGTTCGATAACATCCAATGAATAAATAGTTTTGTTAATGGCCACTTTATACACAGACGAATCATTATTTGATGTAGAAAAATTGCAAATCGGTAAAGAACGATATTCAACTGGATCAGGTTTTGTAAAATTAATTGAAATTGCAAATGTACCTTCAGCAAATACATTTACTCCTCGTATTGATTCGTTTGAGGTGGATGCATTATTGATAATTGTCGGGTTCTTGACGACATATGTGAAAAGTTTTTCAATATCTGTCGTTCGTTCATTCAATGATGTCCTTCGAGAATTTATTATTTTTACTGGGATAATTGTTCCTGGTAGACTAAAAAAATAATGGGCTGCTTGAATAAAAATCAAGAAGCAAATAAATAGGGCAATACGATGGCGACTCTTAAGCATTGAAAAGATCGATTAACAATTGAATGTTGCATGAATCCTATAACATTTTTCATTCATGGTATGAAAGAAATAGTATCCTAGAAATAAAATAAAAAAATCTCTACTATTAGTTGAAATCAACTTCAATTAGAATTATTATTATGAGGTGCGGATAGAAAAAATTAAATGCACTAAAATAATAAAGAAATTCTCACATAAAAAGTTTTCCTACTCAATATACTACCGCACCCCAAAGACCATAGCAATTTACTAGCTGCACTCACAATATGGCATACGGCAAGCCTTAAATAAATATTTGAAGAATGATCGAACTCTTACATTGTACAGTGTATTTTCTTTTTTGTTCTTCTCTATATTCCAGATCTGCTGTCGTTAGTGTGATTGGTTCTATGTTTCTTTATGAAACCGAACGACAGATTCTTACAATAGAACGAAAAAAAACTCGTCTTATTACCAAAGAAAAATACGAGTTGCAAGACGACAAAATAACAAGTTGAATTTCAATTAAAATTTGTACTTGTTTCATTAGAAAATTACTATTGTGATAAATATTTACTTTTATAACAGTTTCGAGTATAATCAGAGTCATAGAAAAAATATTGAGTAATAGCTTTTCTTGCATTAACAATATCATTTGTACTTTTACAAGAGAACGAACTTGTGAACAATGACAAATTTATTCAGTAGTTTGCATTTTTTTAGAGTTGTATTTAAAAATATGAAAAAACTCCCTACAGCTATACGTTTTATTTGCCCTTGAATTCATATAAGTAAACATGAAAGTAGGCATCTATAAGTCATTTTAGGACAATTACATTTCTTATTCAGTGTACTTTCTTTTATATTGTAATTTAATTTACTAACGTGCGCCCTACAGAAGCCGATAGTACCGATTTTTTTTGCGATTCCTCTAATTAGCCCTTGCTGTATCCTTTTTATGTTATACACATATGAATTAAATGTTCACCACAAATCTTCTTCTTCTTCTTCTTATGCTTATTATTATTATTAAGGCAGAGATCAACCCGCCTCATTATTTTACTTAATGTCACCGCCAGTTTCAAACTAATAGGATTATCATTTACATCGTCTTCCTTAACTACACACATGCGTTAAAAGTAAATACTCTTGTTTTGAAAGAAAATTGAACAGTGTCAAATATGGATTTTTCAATAACCTTTTCTATAGTAAACATCAATAGTAAATTCGCCATCTTCCATCTAGATAATACAATTTTGATCTACTCAATGGTTTTAACACAAATTACATCAAGAAAAGAATTTTTTTTTGCTTTTAGTGGTAAATTTTTACCCCAATATAGTCAATCTAAAAGTTATGAAGATTGATTATTTTCGAATCTAATAACTGTTTTCATCGCCTAAGGCACTCACTAAAAATAAAGCTAACCGCAGCGTGCGTGAATTTATATTCACAACGTTAAAATATGCAGTAACGTGTAGTGGAAATTAGTTCGTGCCACAGTGAGAACATTCAATAGAAATGATCTCAATCAGAAAATACTTTGAAGAGTGAAGGGCATGTTGAGAATGTGGACTTCTGAATATATTAAATCCATTTTCTGACAGAAATCTGTTTAATATCAAGAAGAAATCCTATAAACTGGTATTTCAACAAAGATTAATTTCTCCTACTCAACAATGTGTTGACTATTATGTAAGCTGATAGCTGCTCCTGTACGCTGCCAGACGAAATCGAAACCTTATACCATGCTTTTTTTCTGCGTTTAAGATATCTTAAAAAGAAATACGATGATTTTTAAACTGATTCGGAGCAGCGCTTAAATCGTTTCGTTTGAAAGTTACACCAAAAATACATAGTTATTTCACCCGTACAGTTATGAATCGTCGATCTATCAAACAAACGTTTCAGTAAATACGTTGAACATAAACATGTTTGAGTATTTTAGATATTTTCTAACAAATATAAATACTCGAAAAATCTAACACAACGTTAGTTTTGAATAGAAGCGAATTGAGAATACATTCCTGTTTTTTCAAAGAATGTCTTAATACTGATTACATAGACCCATCTAGCCTGCCTGATTATCAACAAGTGACGACATCAATATCAATTAATCTTATGCTCTCACCGGATTCTATTTGCGTTAATCTAAATTGTATAATGCTCAAATCTGGAAACGTTAGTATCAAACATCAATTTTTTTCTATTGAACAGAACACCTTCAGAAAATAAAATACTGATCTATGAACTCATGTAACTATCTTGAAGTCTATCTAAACGGAAAGATTTATTCATAATTCTATTCATTTCCATTATTAATCAGTAGAGTCGAATTTTTAAAATTTCTATTGAGAAAGCTTACAGTTTATTGTACTTCGCTTTGTGGAATCCAGAAAATGATGCGTACTTACTCTTTACTTTTCCTTCAATATTGGTACAAGAAGTATACAGAACAATGTCTATAGGTTAACTTCATTTGGATTCAATCATGGAGCCTTATTAAGTATCAGTGCTCTTATAAGATAGAATTGAAATGTCAAGTGATCTTCGGCTATTTGTCTCAATGAAAAGCAAAATATTTTCATCGATAAAAGTTATATAAAATAGTTTATTTATTTATAACAATAAAAATACTATCTGAACAACTGATTTACCATTCTACTGTGAAATTTCGAAGAACATTAAAAACTTGATACAGAGCAGTAAAAGATTTCATTAAAAATATTTTCTTTCTATTATGGAGCTCTTTCAAAATCTTTCTAAAAATGAAGCTATGCTGAGTTAGAACTATTTCAAAAGCATATCTTTCATACTCATAACCGATCAATGACAGAAACCATAAAAAAAAGAACGCTGTCACCACTCTCCAAGAACATGAGGAAGTGAAGAAATCGACATTTTTATGACACTTGAAAATAACCATCTGTCCTTCAGAAATCAAATCCCCATAGTAAACAATGTAATATCAGATTTTTGTCAACAAGGACATTGAACTCCGGCGAGCATGTTCAGCATTATACACGATAGTTTATATTTTAAACGATGAATGTTATCGGCTGTATTTAAAAAGGAACTATCAATCTATTTTTATGATGAAGTTGTCATAGATATGTAAATAGAATGTGCATCTGAATCAATTCGTTATCAGTGGTAACGAAATACAGGTTTAATCAGATGCATGGATTAGAAATCAAAGAAGAAAATATAAAATACCTCCATTGTTTGTGTTGTGATGTATCTTTGCATGGAAAATGATTAATTGATCTAATGTGGTACAGCTTCATAGGATAAACATATCTATAATGATATTTGTTTACAATTTGTAAGATGAAAAAAAAGTAGACTCGCTAAAAAAGAAACAACTGGAATGAGGAACGAGATCTCTGTTTTATATTTATATGCGTTCTGTAAATATGAGTTAATGTTTCTTTTTTTTCTATGATAAATTTATTCTTAGCAACGATGCTTCATCTATAATATAATATGATACTTCTTTGGACTGATGTAAAAGTACGGATGTGGAATTCACTGGTTACATTGCATGTTACAGAACGAATGTAACAGATGGCGCTAGAAGTCGAAGAAGAATACATAGGCATTTTTTGGAGAAATTTCCTATCAGAATAAAACAAGGAACGATAAAATGAGTATAACTACGAATTTTATTACAAGCAAAATTTCATAAATCAAATTTCGAAAGTATTTTCTCGACATTAACTAGAATATAAATTAAAAGTTTAGGTATCGGACGCTACCTACCGATAGTATGGTGCAGCGTAGCGCTTTCCATTTCATTAGAGTTTCGTAATTGTTGATTTAAATGATATTAAGGTGAAGATGTAAGAAAGAGCTAATAAATTCAATAATCATTTCAAATTATTCATCGAAAATTGTTTTGACAGAGTTAAAATTTATGTTCCATGAATAGTTCTTGAGTAATATGCAACTTAATACAAAATCATGTTGTCCAACTCATGAAATTTGAAGATTTCTGTACATTCATTCTGAATAATGAATTTTTCTATGTGAAACTGGATTCTTCATTTTCAATCTAAAGAAAGATATCAGCTGATTTCGATAGTAGTCAAAAACAAAATAGTAATGGAACTGTTCCTATCATAACATGGAACCTCCTTCAGATATATAACTAGTGATGATGCCAAGATCGACACAATAGTATCTTATAGCAAATACTCTAAGTGGCAGAAATATTTTTCACGAAGCCATTTTTTGTCTTTCATAACAAGAAAAGGTATGCGAGTATTACTAGAACTCACTAGCTCAGATTTTAAAACTGTTTATTTAGCACTTTTTCTTTAAAGACTAGCTCTATGCCTATATTTAATTAATTTCTTAGGTTTTTGTGATCCTTTCACAACATGAGCGTACAGGCGTCATAGTGAATTTACCAGACACCTGTAATAGAAAAAGATCCACCCAATTGAGTTCACTGATGAAAGAAATAGTAAACAACTGTAATAGAAAATTATTTATGCTCGACTCTAATTGCTGTTCAAGTCTCGAAAGACAAAATTCCGAAAAATAAATACCTCGAAAAACAGAATCCAGGCAAAAGAAAACTTTAAACATAAAAACTCGAATTTTGCTACATCACATTTTCGAAAAGGGAACCTTGACGCATTTCTTCTCATCCTACGATCACTTGGTGAATTGAAAATAGATATTATTATGACTGGTCTGCTTTAGTTTGTTTTTAATCTCCCCGAGCGGTTTGCGTTCAAGAGCAATTCTTCTTGTTTCTCTTCTCTGTTGTGTACATAATTCGTATTGCACAACGTAACTTCATTCATCGCGTCTCGTCCTCGTCGAGCGTTTCAAAAATATCATCTATTGAGAGTGTGGATAAGATGTGAGTATGAGGAGAAGATCAACATCCGCACTGACACCCACCCCAGGCATGCAAATAAGATGGAAGTGGATGGGCAACCACCATGCTTTTCCAAATTTTGTTATATATGTTCAATAAGATCGAAAAAAAACTGTTTTCAGGTGTATTTTAGTGACACATCTATAGGGACAAAAACGTTACGTTGCCCCGCTTCGAGATTTTAAAGTGTTGGGTAGGCGCGCTACGCCTCTGCTCACACCCACACTCTTATTTACATGTCATCTTATAATCATAGTCATATCTACCATGAACGACCGGTTATTCAACATTTCATTGCTTAATATTTTAATTTTTTGAAAATTTTGGTATAGATAACTCGTTTTTTCGAGCTTTTTGATTTCTTACACGCGAGTTTTCGAGATATGAATATTTCGAATTTTAATTTTTCGAAATTATTCTATTCGAGATTGTTTACTGGAGATTTTGTTTTCGAGACTTGGACACAATACCACCGTTTCGGGACCGACAAAAAATTAGCCATATGAAGCATTTATTCAGTTTTCTTCCCGCAACGTGCCATAAGATTTATGCCGAGCTAAAAAACGAAAGGAAAAAAGAAAGCCTTCTATTTTTTCAGTGGTTTCTTATTTGTTATTTTTCTTGGTTTAACCAATGAAAAGAATTAACCAGGTACTCCACGCAGGCTCAGACTTTTGAATGTCAAGCACGTTTACACCACAACACGTCAAAAATATTTGTCCATGTCGCTTTTTTAAAACAAAAAAAAACTTTAATTTTTTTTAAATTCTACATTTTCTTTGTATTACTATGATGTGTGGACAAGTAAATTTATTTTAACTTCAGATGTGAACGTCTTGCGTATTATTCTCAAAATGAGACCCAAAATATTTTAGAAGAAATATTTATCATGCTTTTAAATTTGCTATTTATTGATTGATCCAATATTTTCTAATTGCCTTCATAAAAATCTCTTGTGAATTGAGAATAGGTCGTAAAAAATATATATTTACTTAAAGATACCACTATCGTGATATTCATAAGGCAAATGATAATATCTAGATGTAGACAAAGCAGATTTTATTCGTGTGTGATGTTAGAAAACCCCATATTATTTATTAATGAATAGATTGTGATTCATCTTGGTAATGCATTTGTTTTAACGAAATGAAGCGAACTTCGGTTAGAAATAGTCCTAAAGTTTCAAGGTAAGCAGCAGGTGATATACTAAATTTAACATGTTTGAAAGCATTTCTTTCTTGCTTTTACAGATCAGCAGGTGAAATACATATTGTTGTTGACAATTCGAATCTTTTTATTGGTTCTCAGAATGGTCAAGGTATCAATCAACAGCAAGATACGTCTGTTCGTATTAATGTTGGAAATTTAGTTGCAATTATTGAACAGGATAAAAATTCGAAGGATATTAAAACGAGACTTGTCGGTGGTAGCACTCCACCGCGTACATCACGAGTTTGGAATGAATGGGAGAAATGCAACTATACATGTTTACTAGGCGATCGGTCAATACTTAATAGAGTATGAAAATATTAGTTTTCTTTATGATTAATATTAGTCAAAAATAAACGACAGCAGAATATGAATTTGATTTGTTTCTATTTCAGCGAGGTGAATTTTAAGTGTACGCTTTTTTTACAGAGTATAGGCTAATTTCCCTTGAAAAATCTACAGAAATACTACGAGAATCGAATTCTTTCTGTTCATACAAATACTCATAAACCTATATACAAGTTCGAAACAGAATTGTAGCTCTATGCTGAGAAAACAAATTGTGCAAGGTTGAGTAAAGATAGTTTTTCTACATTTGCTTTTGTAATTGTTGGAAGAATGTAAAATACGAGTAAGATTCATTTTACAAAACGCATGAGCTGCTTCTTTTTTATTACTAATCCGTAGAGAAATGAACCAGGAGCAATAAATAAAGAGTAAATGTTGACTTTTGGCAGAGATCCAATTCAGGCTTTTATCGGGAGTCGGGAAAAGCCTTCAGTTTTCATAAAAAATTGATGATGCGAAATACTAGAACCAAATGTTGCCAATACTGATGTATGCTAGTTAAAATTAAATAGGAAATTTCAGTTATTGAAATTTGTTCCTGAAAGAAGAACATCTAGAAATCAGCGTTTGTTAATCTAGTTCCATTTATAATGTAAATCTGATGTATAAATCGCATCTGAATTATAAATTATTATTGTGTTCATTTGAAATTTTAGGAAGTGTTCTTAGATGATATGTTGCATTCTCAAATTCAAAATTTAATCTTGAGGAATAATTCTCACCAAGGTAACGTACAACAACGTCTTGTATTAATTACTGGTGATGGAAATGCAAATGATAATCGTACGAATTTCCCAGATATAGTAAACATTGCACTCAATTATGGATGGACAGTCGAATTATGGTCATGGGAAATATCAATGAACAAGAAATTCTCAGACATTCAACGAAGAAATCCTTCAAAAATGTCAATAAATTATTTAGATCAGTACAGGTCCAAAATTACTTTTAAACAAAACCAACAACAACAGCAAAAAATCAATAATCAATTGAATTCTTGGATTTCTCCTGCTTCAATTTTTGTCTTGTGTCTTGGCATATTTCTTTGTTTTTTTCTGATCTACTGGTGGAACTATATTTCTTAGATTTCTTGTATTTTTAAATTCATTTTACAACAGACTTCATTTCGGCACTTTCTCTATAGTTTTGCTCCTAGTAAAAATATGACCACTAACAGATTTGAAATCGGTTTCAACGTTAATCATTATACTCTGAGTGGCAAAGCTCAAATTTAACGACTGTATTTTTTACATGTATGTCAGCGCTCAATTTTGCATTCAATATAATGCATATCATACATGTTATGTGAAAAGAATAAGTTGAATAAAACTGAGATGAAATCTAAGTGGGTAGATGTTTTAGGGAACATTATATTTGATAGGTCAAATAAATGAACGATCAGTAAAAAAGAATATGAATGATCAGTACTCAAATGATCAGTAATTATTCTTAAAGTGATCAGTTTATTATATATAATTACCAGTAAAAAAGATAAAATTGATCAGTAAAATATAGAAATTTGGTTGCAGGCGTGATTCTTCTGCTCATCTACACTACCCCCTCATCCTTTTTTAGAATTCTTTGATTTCAATTTATGCCATCATTTTCTTCCAGAACCTCTTTGTCTGATATATCACTTTCATATTGAACAACTTGTACGACTCCCGTCTTTTTTACTCGGTGGTACTAAGTTGAATGTGAAAGAAAGGAGCTAAGAGTACATTCATAGGCGGCGGAACGATTTCAATCTAGGGTAGGCTCAATTTTCCAGCGAAATGATGTCAGGAAGATAGTGAGAAAATGACGTTCATCATATTTTTTCAATGCGAGACGCCATACACCTTCTTGCTAGATTTTGATTCTGTATACATGTGATAACTTTATAGTGCTTTATTTTTTTGAGATAAAACAAGAAATAACGAAGTATCACAGAACAATTACTTAAAAAATAAAACGAGTCTAAAACATAATAAAATCATACAGCACCAAAAAATGTTTTTCTATTTTCAGTCTTTGAAATAAAATCAGAACAGACGCTCTTTAAATCAAGTAAATCGAATTTATCTTTATGAATGTGAGGAATAATAACGTGATTTAAACGTTGCTGACTCATTGTGCAGCGTAAATACGTTTTTATTCTATTAAGAACACTGAGCGATCTTTCGGTAGTGGCTGTTGTTACAGATACTGTCAAAGATAATGTTATGTAATAATGCGTCATCTATCATGACAACAAAAACTGAACTATAAGAAAATATGTTTACATGTAATAGAGCCTACTCAAGCGTTCAATTCTTATAGTTTGAGCCTACCCACGTCTTCTAATGGCTCCGCCGCCTATGAATACATTTATATATGTTGTACTCGTCAGCGGTACGATATATAGACCAAAAGAACAAACATGAAAAAGAAATCACCTTATAACACATTTTAATTTTTATACTGATCCTTTAATCTAATTTACTGATTTTTAAATATATCAATAAATCGAAGTATATTAATAACTGACCACACAAATAATGTACTGATCAATCATTTATTTTACTGATTTTATATTTGTTTTGCTTACTGATCATTTCATTTATTCTACTGATCGCTTAAATGATAGCCGATGTTTTATGGTATTTAAAAAATAGATGGAAATCCTCACTTTCAATGTCGGTTTATGTAGGCTGTATGAAAAACAGAATAAAAACCACATACAGTATCGCCCGATCCCTTTGTTTGCATTTAGCAGAATTCTTTTCACGTACGTCTCGTATTTACAGTGACATAAGTCACGCGTTATTTATCGCTGTAATGATAACAACGTGGTGTTTTTATTTCAAGCTTATCTCTAGCTTTTGTTTGTCGTTTTTTATATTCGAGTGAAATGTGCTAGTAGAGGGTTTTTTTGTTAGCACAAACAAATAACTGTTTGAATCGTGCTTACTGTTATGCAATAATATCCACAGGTGAGTGAATCAGGCGTGTTTTTTCTTAAAACTTTCTACACGCCTAAACATTAGGAATTGTGTAAGATCGAAATGCTTTCTTCGTATAGGTTAATTGCTGAATTGTCGGAAATCTGATTTCAAGGCAAGTCAGTCTTTAGTGAGAAAAAGTTATTTTGAAATCCATATAGCTATACTTTCGAATATCATATCGAGATAGTCTCATGTCCACATAGTTGTAATTAGCATTCTGCTCGATCTGACGAACATTTCCTACTACTCGCCAATACTTTTGTGTTTAGAACCAAAGGAGAGATCTAATTTGAAATTTCGTACTCATAAAGCCCTTTCCATTGTTTAAAAAAATACAAATTTCATGATTTGTTAAATAGAATTCAATATTTATCGTTACCGATTAGAATGAGAGCATATGCCAAGATTTATAAGCCTTTGCATATTAGTTCAATTTATAATAATTGAATCGCTAGCGATAATCACTTCTCTTTTTTTTTCATTAAATCTATCATCACTCAAGTGCCGCTTCTTTTTCTAGATGCTTTTTTTAATTTTCATTTCTTTTGAATGTTCTCACAAGTACTTAGATGCACTCATATTGTGTTTTTTTAATTTACTAGTAGATTTATAAATTAACGAACGTATCACAAAAATCGTAAGAAACCACAAAACCATTGAAACAATAAATAATGACCACCAATAGTCCGTTGTTCGATATTAATCAATTGAATTCTGAACATCAAAAAATCTTTCATATTGTTTACGATGAATTAAAACCTCATCATACATCCTATGTTCAATATAAAATTGATTTGCAGTTGAAGACCAATTTGGATATTGAAGATGAGGATAATGAATGGCGTTATGAAGTACATAGATATCTTCGTGCAAGAAAATGGCATGTCACACGTACCATCAAATGTATTTTGGAGATGATTCAATGGCGAAAAGATCATCACGTAGATTCTATTCTCGAGGAACAAGAAACAGCACTTCAAGTGGAGCTTCTTCGAAAAATCGTTCCAAATGTTTATCATGGCAATACAAAAGATCATCTACCATTGTATATAGAAAAATCAGGTCTAGCGCATGTCGATAAGATATTAAATATGTTTACACCGGAAGGACTTATCCGATGCCATATTTATATACTTGAATATAATTGCCAACTGACAAGAGAGTGTAGTCGAAAGTTAGGAAAACACGTGGAAACGTTTGCTATGATTTCGGATTTGAACGGCTGTAAAATGGACTTAAGAAAAGTGCTTCATCTGTACAGACAAGCTGTTTATATTGATGAAAACTTTTATCCTGAACGTCTAGGACACATGCTCATTGTCAATCCACCAGTTATTTTTCCTATTCTTTGGAATTTAGTAAAACATTGGCTTGATCCAGTAACTCAAGAAAAAATTATTGTTATGAAGAAAGGCCATGAAACAGCTACAACATTGTTACGCTATATAGATTCTGATAATTTGCCAAAAGAATATGGTGGAAGCTGTAATTCATGTCCAACATTTCCGGAATGTATTCCTATATATGACTGGAGTAAAGACACTGCTACCAACGATAAACCTGGTTCATAAGAGCATCATTTTTCCTGTTCTATCATGTAGATAAATTACTAAGTTGATTCTGTTGCACTTGTAAAATAAAGGAAATTAAGACGTTTAAAAGTCAATATAATGTTGCAAATTCTAAAAACCAATATGCGCTTCGATCCTTATCTATTCATAATATCTTATAAGAAATCGAAAATAATATCAGTAAACAAACAACAGTTAAAGTATTAATGCAACAAAGAATAAGACAAAATTATTGTGAAGAACAATTTCATAGTTCTTAAAATATTCTGCACACGATAAGATATTGTATCCAGTGAATGTGAAAAAAGCCGTTATTACTATAAGTAATCAGAAAAATAAATTAGATCGATGCGCAAAAAAATGTTGCGATGTGTAGACGATTATTGAACCGAAACCACAGTGCTACAAATGTAGCTACTATACTGAAATTTAATCAATTAAATACTTCCTACATCAGAAAACTAACCAAAATATGATATCGACTGGCAACGCACACCAGGTGTGTTTTAAAGTTGATGTTTAGAACAAAGAAAGTGATGATCAATACTCAATAAATACAACCGTCATGATAGTTAAAGATTCAATACAACGAGATATAATACTTTTTTTGTTTTAGTTTATCTATTGGTTCTAATACGAAAATTTCATATTGCGTCATACTTGAAATTCAAAAGAAAACAACACGATTGTAGGCTCAATCTTTATTCTTTATGTTGAAAGCATATTGTAGATGTCTGTATATTTGAAAATCGCTTTCTCAAATGTTCTTATTTTCGTGACACCATAAAAAAAAGTCGCAGCATTTCATAGCATAAATTGTAGACACATACATCCCACTTTTCTATACTAATTTGTGTCGCTTACTCATCATTTATTGCATACAAACAACTCTACGATGAAGTTTTCTCTTTCGGCTATTCTTTTTTTCTTTTCTCTTTGCGTTTTTTTCAATCTACAAAGAAAGAAAGAAAAAGAAAAAGAAAAAGAAATAGCACCAACGACAAATGTTACAAGGACAGCCGAACACAAAAAAAGTTTATTAGTAGTAGAGCATAACGTGCATACTTCTCAATACAAAATTCAGTCAGCGGTAAACATTACAACCAACATTTCTTTTTCTTCGTGATGGTGATCCTCATGGAATGAAACCGAAACTTCACTTTCATGAATCGTACGTATGCTGATTTTATTTACTCTCGCATAAAAACGTTTTACCGTACTGCATGTTCGGTTTCTCTATTTAGACGTTATTCAAAGCACTGTTATTAATCGATCGTAGAGGTCGTGTTTTAATTGTTAATGAAAAATGTGTGGACCATGGCGTAAACTTAGCTGCCGTCAAAAAGTACTTGCAATTCTTAAAAATGAAATAACCTGGGGTACATTTATTATTCTTGCTTGTGCCATTTCTCTAATCATCATATGGGTAGTAAGCGAACCAGTTCAATGGCAGAGCTACAAAGATCCTATACACGAACAAGGACTCATGAGTATAATTGGTGGCATTTTTGCCATTGTTGCAACATTAATGAGTTTAACTCAGATTATTCAACATTTTGCTCATAAAACTGATAAAGCTTCTCAAAAACGTATTATGAAAATTTTGGGAATGGTACCAATCTATAGTGCAACCGCTTGGATGTCTCTGCTCTTTTTTGCAGCAGCTATCTACATGGAATTTGTTCAATCATGTTATGAAGCTTATGTTGTTTATTGTTTTCTACTTTTATTAACAAAATATCTTGGTGGCCATCGAGGTGTAGAAGAAGCAATTGCAAACAAAGAGTACATTGAGTTACCATTTCCATTTGGATGTTGTTGCAAGCCATTAGCAACTACAAAATGGGTTTGGTATTTTAAAATAGGCATCCTTCAATATTCATGGATTACGCCAATCTGTTCAGGTATAGCTGTTGTTTTAAATTTAGCAAATATTTATAACAATGGTCAATGGAATTTCAAAAGTGGCTATCCATATATTACAATTATCATTAACCTTAGTCAAACATTGGCTCTTTACACTTTAGTAGCTTTCTACAGTAACTTTAAACACGAATTAAAACCATTTCACCCACTAGCAAAATTTATTGCAATAAAACTTCTCGTTTTTTTTATCTTTTGGCAATCAGTTTTAATGAGTGGTCTTGCAACTATTGGGGTACTTCGAAATACTGAATGCGACCCGACAACTAACACTTATTGTAATGGTTCAACAACCGGATTTACAGTTGAACAAGAAAAAGTTCTGTTAGAAAGTATATTGATCTGTGTTGAAATGTTCTTTTTCGCGATCGCTCACCATTGGATTTTTAGTTGGAAACCGTATGCAAATGGAAAATATGCAGAGCTCATGAAATCTCGATACCCTCAATTTGAATATCAAAAGAATGGTATTGACGCAGATATTGTTAGGATACGTTTTTAAAATTATCTTTTAATGGAATTTTTGTAAAAAGCAGCAAAGATCAAGGTATTACAAGAAATTTTTATTTTGCATTATAAAGTATTCTATACAGCTAATGTAGGTCATTAAGAATATATGAGTTTTTTACCTTTTCAATAAATCTTTTCAGCTAGAAATGCTCAAAATATTAGCTGGAAATATTATATAAACATGCTACCCACATATTCCAAGGCCGATAGATCTGAAAGTATCTTTGACGAACAACACAGAACCCATTGTAAAGTCAGTATACGGCTAGTACTCGAAAACCTTCTGAACCACAAGGATACGACAAGGGGTGGCACTTTATCTTTACTTAACTTTGAAAAAGTAAAGTAAAGTAAAGTAGTGAACTTTACTTTACCTGGTAAAGTAAAGCAGTGAACTTTACTTTATTCGGTAAAGTAAAGTAAAGTAAAGTAAAGTGACTTGTATTAAGTTAGGCTTATTGTTCATTTTCTAGGCCAGCATCAAGCTCTGATAACGCTGCAGCATACAAAAGTGTTCATCTATGAAAAATGTGACCTTTTCATCGTTACTGTACTTTATTTTCCACTTTTTTTATGAATAAATCGTTCCAAAAATACTTTCATATGCTGCAGCGTTATTAGTGCATGATACTGGGCTAAAAAATGGGCAACAAACTCAACTTTATTTAATTCACTTTACTTTACTTTACTTTACTTTACTTTACTTTTCGGGTAAATTTGACTTACTTTACTTTACCGGGTAAAGTAAAGTAGCGAACTTTACTTTAACCGGTAAAGTAAAGATAAAGTGCCACCCCTAGATACGACGCTATTTATTCTCAACTAAAAATTTGATTCGATGGTCCTGTTGTTTTGAGCGTTCTTTGGGCAACCGAAGATATTTGATTATTCGATAACATCAACTCCTGTAATGTCTACGAAATAGAATGAGGCAACTATTCAGTCAAGAAAATCAAAAATAGATTGATTACCTTATTCTTTCGAAGTGAATCAGCAAAATGTTGTGCACATTCGTCATCGATCTTATTATGCTCGAGATTGAGTATTATCCAAGGGGGGAAAAGCTGATTTAAATCGCAGTAAAACTCAACTTACAATCAATATAAATTAACTGTATTGGAATGAGTTTGCGTGAGTTTCGGTGCCTTTGAATGATTTTCAGTAATAATTTATGATTTGGAATAGTTTTTAGTTAGTTTAGCAAACTTTTCGTTTTCTCAAACTCATTTTAAATCAGCTAAACTCAGAAAAATCATGAAACTCATAAATCGCTTTTCCCCCCTTGGTATTATCAGTTTCTGCGTGAAAGAGCAAATAAGATGTTGTAGAAACAAGCACTTAAAACAAATTACCTTGTTCTGTAGAAGAACATCGGCCAATAGATGCCTTCCTATATTACTAATTTCATTGAATCCCAGATCGAGTGTCGTCAACGTCTGTGTACGATAGACACACAACATGATCTGATAAAGAGAAAATAAAGGAGTAGAAGTGCTTATTTATTGTGTCGCTACCAGGATATTCAATTCGACAAGATTTGATAGGGGTCCGGATTCAGGACCTACAATTGAATCTTGACTGTCGAGATCTTACTTCAGACACTCGATGGGAAACTGTTACCTGAACATTTCGTATCCTAGAATGAGAAACCGATGAGAATTCTATCATTTCTCACACATGAGCTCAGTAGGATTTCATCCTGTTCCCACAAGACTCATCTAATTTTCAACAATAATATTCCCAAGAGACTCCCTACACTCGATTCTTTTCGGATCCAATGAAAAAAAGAATATAGATACTTTGGTATGCACTATTTACCTGTGTACGTCATTTTTTGATGAAATTTTCCTCTCAAATTTGCGGACGCCGATCAGTTCAAAGCTTTAACAACGTCTCAGAAGTGTCTCAATGGTTTAACATGTTGATAATCATATAGGATCGAGATTGGCAGTGGAACATCTAGAATTTCTCCTAAAATGCTGTCAACAACATGGCCCGATACGTTTGTGCCACTATATTTAGTCATTTATGCATAGATATCAAGTAATGGTGAATCGCTAATATTCAAAAAAACTTTCATATGAAAATTGAAGTTTCTTTTACTAATTCGATCATGATGAAATTTTATGCAGCAATACAAACAACAATAGTAGCCACCATGACCAAAAACGTTAAGAATTTATTCCAAAGAAGAACAATCTTCAATCACATCCTCAAGATATAGTTACATATAAATAATGATAGTCCAGTAGATGGCGAGTTTACTATTCTCATACAGAATTGCCACCTGAATAATTTTTGCACAGTGATTTTATGTTTTGATAAATTTAATTCAACATGCAAAATAAACTTAAAACATGACATACGATCTTATATTATTATATTGAACAAGTAATAGAACTATTTACTAACTATGATATTCCTCTTTTATTTCCTGTTGATACACAAAACCAAATGATTATTCATCAAGATAATCCATATGATCATACAGAAAACGGAATAATTAGTTATACGAAAGAACAGGTAAGAAAACACAGGGTGCCAACGTTAAATGAGTTAAAAAATGCTATTCAACAGAAGCCGGGAAATCTTAAATAGAATATTATCAACCAAGAGATGCCAGTCTGACCTGGTGGCATGTAGACGCCTGCCAGGTCAGACCGGAAAAAAGTGATCTATTTGCATCACTGTCGTCAATTATGTTTTAAAGAGTTGCCTAAAGCGTTGTAGATTAATTTACTATGCTCATGGACCGTATATCGAAAAATTGTTACAGCAGATGTATAAAAATTTTCTTTCAAAATAAACTAAATTGCCTGTATATATATATATAGTTGCTATTTTGAAAATAAAACGAAGATTTAATATTGATTTGTTAGATCAATCACCCAATAAAGATGAGCAGGCAGTGCATGGATTGTAATCAGTAATGATATTAGCTTTAAGTACAATGGCTGCTGTTCGCGCGTAGACGGAACCCGAATAGAAGACATTGATTGCAAGACTGCGGGTACATAGGAGTAAATATTTCCGATAAATTCGCTATTTTCACTAAGCATGGCACTGCTGCCTACCTGTCAAAAGGTGCAACTAGTATCGGCTTCGTTAATCGCTTTGATTGTACTGTTGCCTGAGGCCACAAGCATGTTGCCAATCTGAAATATATAAATATCTGTCCCGTTCAATGTTAGAATATCTCCCGGTGTATTGAGGGCGGCGACAGCGTCGAACTTGTACACGCCTGGTCCGAGTGTCTGACCAGCCAGATCAACACCCGTCATTTTGCGCTTGTCCAGCGACACTAGTACCCAATGTAGTGACATCGTTGATCACACCAAATGGATTGAAACCAGTCAACGTGATACCTGGACTGATGGCTACGTTGCCGTTGATTACAGTCAAGTCAGCATTGATAACTGAGCTTGCACCGATTATCGTAAAGTTGGCAGCGCTTCCCAAATTTAGACAACTTTCCAAACTAGCCGCAACAAGAGCCAGACACAGCAGAATACCAGAAGTGTTGCTCGGTTGCATCTTGTTTAAATGTGTTCTTTTTAGATACATGAAACGATAAAACTAATGAAAAATGCGATGTATCTGCTACTTATACGCACAATTTAGACTCTCGTATTGCGTCGATCGATTTTTTTTTCTGAGGATAAATGAGTGCAATTAACAAGATACTGCAGTGAAAACATACAGAACGACCAAATGCTGCCTATAGAAATCGTCATTGATTAATCGCTAGAGGGATTTTTCATGTGTACATAAATGCATGCGTTAAACTGGGCCATTATCTTTTCGAAGAATCAGCAAAAAACAAAAAAAAGTACTTGCGACAACCCAAAAGTAATGGAGGAGGTACTTTATTTCTGTAAAGAAAGCTCGATGAAATCTTCACTTTATGCGCAGTAATAATAAAAACAATACTCTATTTGTCGGTAATATTTCATCATTCTTCAACTAGTATCATAATAATAAGATTTCAAGAAGATCTATTTGCTACGATACGTGACGAAAAAAGCATTAGATTATATTGTCTTCGATGTATATAAAATTTTTATTTATCTCTATTCTTTTATTTCTTGTTGTCTCTAATGTGCGCCGCCGACTGTGTGTAGCTTCTAGAATATACTAAAAATGTTATATTGACGATGCAAGAAATAAATATAGAAAGACGTTTATAAGATTTTTGTTTCACCAACTGTTCGAAGCGGTGGCGCTGGTTATCCGCACTTAATTGTGAGTACCACTTGCTTGATTTACAGGAGGTGAGAAAGAAAAGAGGAGAAGATCAAGAAATAGATAGGCATCGAAGATCATATCATTAAGTGTTACCGCCATACATCTAAACAAGCAGACCCTATCAAACTTTCATTATTATGATACTAGTTAAAGAATGATGATATATCACCGAAAAATAAAGTACCTATTCTACTACTTTCGGATTGCTCCAAGTAGCCGCTAGCGTCTAATGTTTACAAAATCTGGCTATAGAATAGTAATCAGGCGATGAAATTCTTTATAGACATATCGTCAATTAGATGCGAGGCGACTGCCGAAGGCGTGGACAACATATATTTGCTTTGCATAATTGATTGCAGTTGCATCATTCTTTCAATTATTGGGGAGTAGTGCTCCAACACTATGATAAATAGAGAATGAAAAATGTCTTTCTACAGAAAAGGTGAATAAGGACACTTTTCTTTTGAAAATGCGTTGAGTTGAATCGGGTTAATGAGCTTCATGTTCAAAATTCCTATATTATTATTTTTTCCAAATAGATCATTCTGCAGTTTCTCAACGGGTTTAACTATGTTCAACAATAACTAGTCATTTCTTGTTTTTTCAAAGACAAATTCAACGTGTTGAAACGCACAGTCTTTAATTCGATGACTGGTATTTATATGAATACGTTTAATGTGAAGTTTTTTTTTTAATTTCTAGACTGCTCTAATGTTTTTCTTTTCGAACGACGAATCATTTCTTACAAACCATAAACAGTTAGGATATTTCTTAAAGACGCCCTACTACGTTTTTCCTTTCTAACATTTCCGCGATTATGCCAGCTTCTAATATTTAACTGTTTGGCTCATTTAAGCATTATTTTTCTAAGCTAAGATGCCATTCTGATATTTTTTCCTTTCATGCTTTGAGTACTTGTATGTACATAGGGCCTTTTAATTACTTTTGTTCTCTTTTTATGATCATTTCTGTATTATCAAGAAAATCTTCATCATTTGAATGTGAAGAGCTGCTTGTTACATCATTAATAATGGTATCACGTTGAGGACCTGTTGTTGATTCACTTGATGATGTTAGAATTATGGAAGGTATCATATTTTCGTTTCGATATGAATCAGTAGGGAAAGTTATGAAGATTATATAATCAATGAGCGATATAAAAACAACTAGGTATTGGATATATTACAGTTCACGATTGTAAAAAAACGGTAACTCTAACAGTGACACAAGAGAAAAATGACTACGATTTTTAATCATTTTGTACATGAATAGATTGTACTAACAGAACAAGATCAATTGAAGCATCAAACCCTATTTACTTTCTACATTAAATAGCTATTATATTCATCACGGCGATGGAGAATCGTTGTGTTTCTCTCTTCACCAACTGATTTTGATCTGAAATAGATTAATAAAGAGGCTACGCGTCACAGGCGACAGTATTTTACTTATTTTTTCATTCTCTCGTATTATGCTGTAGTTGATTTCGTATATTTCACAATAGTCAATATTTTCAATGAGTCATATCCTGTAACAACTTTTGTTTTGCCGTTAGTCACATTTCTCCTTTTCGTGTAATTTTGTGTTTCGTACCCAATGTTCGTTCTCGTACTCTTATTTGTCGTAGTACCACTTGCAATGCACTAATTCGCGCCCGATAGATTTTGATTGTGAAATTTGAACGAGAAGCTGCAGTTCACAATGCTCAAGAGAAATAATTATCAATTTGGATTCATTGTGTGAACGAGCAGTTTCCAGCAGTGGATACAAGATCGAAAATAATTGAGTATAACAAAATCAATATCGTTGAGGCTGATACAGTTACACAATAAATTGATGTTTCATTTGAACGCGGCTTTATCTTTCATCAATTCCCGTATTTGCTTGCGGTTATTTACATTGTTAGTATACGTATCTGTTCGTGTAGACTACGAGAATAAGCTCTTTCAAAATTCGATCGAAAGAAAGAATCAAGTTAATTTTGATTCGTAATGACTTTACAAATAATAATCTCCTTTCTTTTTCTTTGATGTGAAAACTAATCGTATAAAACCGAAGTCAACGAAAGGACGTTTTTCGAATAGACGATTCGGCAAGAATGAAAAGTTCAATGAGAAAACAAGGCAGTGCGAGTGTTGTGTAACATTCATTTTGAATAAGTGGCCAACACATGATTTCAATGCAATTTAAGAAGAATAAAACATGAGAACATATTGTTAGGATTGTTAACAATCGTTGAAGTATAAGCACTGTGAAATTGATTTTTCACCGATGATCAACTCATTCTTTCAGTAGATGGATAGATCAGTCAACAATGTGTGTATAATATATTTCTAATATCAACATTCAATATCAGCTGCTGCTACACATTCTGTTGTCTGTACTGTGAGTCGACACATGAGTGAATAAATTTCCAAACCAATCCATGAGTCACATCTGAACGAGCTTCACCAACGATGAAGGAAGTGTGCTCCAATAAGCATGCTTCGGTCATGGCGTAAAACAGAAAAGGAGAAAAGGAAGTTTTTGGATCCAAGAAAATCTCGAGAGGGTGAGTGTGAGTATACTCAGATAGATCGACAGCGGCTATAATAACGTTTACAAGAGTTTTTCATAGTTTCTTTTTGTGGAGTTTTATTATAATCTATAAAAAAAATGAATCTCATTTTGTTGTAAGGAAATCAGCCACGTTGAAACATGAAGTTTTCGTTTTTCTTCAGATCATCTGAAACTGATCGAAAATGTTTCATTCGTCTTTCGCATTTTATTTTATATAGGTAGAAGTAGTTTGTAGCTCATAAATATTCTTAGTTGAATGCTATTGGCTAGAAAAGTAGCTGAATATGAAAATTCATTTATAAAATTTTTTATCCATAAAACAATATTTTGTAAATATAGCGTTTCAACACCAACATGCGGAATAAAAACCCGTTTAGGCAAATATTTTCAAACATCAAACTCAAGCTGACACCACGTAAAGGGACCCGTTATGGAGATAAATTTCATAATTACGGTGCAGTAGAATGTATTTGAATATTGAGAAAGAAAGAAAATTTTCAGATGAATCATAACCAATTTAAACTGATTGAAAACAGTTCCTTGGTTTAGTTTCAAATGCTATAGATAAATTGGTTTCTGAATAACAACTCAGTTAAACTTCGTTTTTTTGTAGAGTGATTCAGCAACAGTTGTTTTTCTTAATTCTGAACAAAACTTCTAGTGATCCTTAGTGAGAACATCATCTTTATGATATGCTTATTTCATGTAAAGATATTATATTCGAAAATAATATAATACCACATACTTATGTAGATCCACGAAAAAGGTTAGTTGCTTTTCCTCCGATAGTGGCTCATATATATACGCTTTAATTTTCCTCACGCGTAATTTACGAGTAATACATATACAGATGACAAGCATGAATTTTCATTTTAATAGGCTGTTTTGTTTGTTTCTGAATATGACTTCTTGTCTTCTACGTCCTCAATAATCAAACTGGTGAACGCATCTATGTGTCTCTTTGTTTTATGTCCCTTATACTTACATATAATTGAGGAAATTATAATGTCATGCCACAATAAAGTTGAATGCAATTTAAAGAAATAAATATAGAACATTTTTGACATACACAGGTTTTGCAAAAATATTGGTGTTTTTCTACTGATTCATTAAAGAACTTTTTTTTATCGATGTTAGTCGTTCTTTCACAATATCCTAAATTATTTGATGGATACCGCTCATAACGATAAATGATATATTTACATTTGTTTCGCAGAGATGTTTAGTTTCATGCAAAGAAATTCAGATTCTTATCAGAAAAAAAGAATAATAATTCATAGAAAATTTACATAATGAACTACAGATTTACCAATAAAGCTACAACTACAACTACATAAACATAAGAATATGATTATTGAGTTATAGATGTAAGCTCTTTATATAATCGGAACGCGTCGTGTGGATTTCTTGAAATCAATCAAATGTAAACACACTGATCCACATACAATCCCTCACTTTATTTTCCTTTTTCTTTGAAATTAGTAAAATATTGACTTGATCCATTAACTCAAGCAAAGATCATTGTTACGAAGAAACGCTCTGAAGCTACCACAACACTATTAGACTATATAGATTATGATCGTTTGCTAATAGAATATGGTGGCAGTTGTAGTTCATGCCCAACATCTCCAGAATGTATTTCTATATATGACTGGAGTAAAGACACTGTTGCTATCGATAGAATCGAAGCATAAGAGTATGTTTTTTCTGTAGTATCATGTAGATAAATTAAGAAGTTGTTTCTGTTGCACTCGAAATAAAGAAATCCAAGACGTTTTAAAGTAAAAACAGTGTGCACTTCGATGCTCGTCTGTTACTTTTGTGCCATGTTGAAAATGGGAGACGGTCACTTGCTCGCGCTGCTAGTCATAGCGAGGAAGTGTATATACGAGCAACTGTCCGGCGAGCAACTGACCTAAACTCGTTGAAAATATACTACATCTTACTGAAAGCTTTTTACTGAGATTTAAAATAATATCTATGAAATATCTAGAAAAATATGGTGAAGAACAATTTTGTAGCTCTTAACATACTCTGGACCCACCATAGTGGCTGGTTTATGAATATTATTATGGATATTTTAAAAAATCAGCAACATGATGAGTGACTATTACTCTCACATGATGATATATTCGGTGTGCTGGAGAAATGTCGAAAACAGAAAAAATAAAGAAAAAACATCGAAAGGAAAAATATCGAAAGGAAAAATGTCGAAAGGAAAAATGTCGAAAGTGAAAAATAAAAAATAATGATGTCTCCAGTATATCGCGATTCTAATCCTATTTAGTTCATTGTTTTTTCTTATAATTTCACTAGTGTAGAGTTTTAGCCAGTATTGATAGGGATGACTAACTATTAATACAAGTAAAATGAAACAGCTGAACAAAGAATTATTATATAACTAAAATTGTACTGTCGTGGCTGAAGCTTTCGTAATTTTAACTAGTGAAATTCAAGCAAAATCTCCTGCTATTTCATTTATAAATTCAAATAAAGGACAACCTCTACTAGTTGCCGATGATTATACTTTTATATTGAATAAAGCAACAACAACTACGAAATATTGGATATGCACTATTAAGGATTGTGCAGCTAAAGTACATACTGATTCAAATAATCGATCGACGAAAACTGTTTGCAATCATAGTCATCTTCCAGGAAAAGAAATACTCGAGGTCCGTGACGCTCGTGAAAAAATGACATATTTAAAAAGAATTTTTCTCAGCCTTAACATTTCAGCTTAATTTCATACAAAAAACATACACTATATTATTTACAATTCTCTAAAATATTAACCGACAATGTTTCATGTCAATATTATTTTTTCGACATTTTTCCTTTCGACATTATGACGGCCAACCATATATTCTGTCCAGTGAACGTGTAAAACGTCGTTATTAGTATGGTCAAACAAGAAAATTAATTAGATCGATGTAAAAAAAATAGTGATGCATAGATGGCTAGTAAACTGAAAAAACCAGTGCTAGAGATGTAGCTACTATACATTATTTTACCCAATTGAAGTGAAACTTCCCACACCTGAAAACCAATTAGAACATGATATCGACTGAAAGAAAAAGCAGAAATGTTTTTAATTATATATATATATATATCATTTGATACTTGAAACAAGAAGGCAATGATAAAGGTTAAATAGATAGAGTCATAACAATCGATAACGATTCGATATTATGAAATATACGATTTTGCTTGTTTCGGTTTTTTTCTTGGATTGAATATGAAAATTGAAGATTTTGTCAGGGTCGAAATATTGCAGAATTCAAATAAAATGACAGTCGCATCGATTCTATTTTTTCTGTAAAATAGCTGATTATTTTAGATGTCTATATATTTCAAAATTGTTTTCTCAAGTCTCCGAATTCTCGTGTAACCATAAAACCGTTCACGATATGTAATAACACAGATTGTCGATATGCAATTATTAAAAATATTATGTTGATCTTTGTCGTTTACTCATCACTCATGGTACATAAAAACATCTACGACGTCGTGTTAGTTATCGGCTTTCCTTTTCTTTCCACGCTTGCTTAAGCAGTGTTTTGTATATTTTGTCAAGTTGGAGAGAAAGAACGAGCGACTAATTTTACAAGGACAATCGAGCACAATAAAGATATATTATTAATAGGACAGAACATGCAAACGTTTCAATACGTAACTTATCGGTGATACACCTTACTGGCAATGTTTTTGTTTTCTGTGATGGTGATCCCGTAAGCGTAAACGAAACTTCAACGTCATGCATAATAAACGACCCATGTGTTCTCTCTTGCTTGTAAAATATTTTACCTAGTGTTTACTCGATTTTGTATTAGAAATTATTCAAAACACTGTAATAAATCGTGCAAATAGATCGTTTTCAATTGTTAATGAAAAATGTGTGGAACGTGGTGTAAACTTAGCTGTCGTCAAAAAGTACTTGCAATTCTTAAAAATGAAATAACCTGGGGTACATTTGTTATTCTTGCTTGTGCCATTTCTCTAATCATCATATGGGCAGCAAATCAACCAGTTGTATGGCAGAAGTACAAAGATCCTGTCCATGAAAAAGAACTCATGAGCATTATTGGTGGCATTTTTGCCATTCCTGCAACATTAATGAGTCTAACTCAGATTATTCAACATTTTGCTCATAAAACTGATAAAGCTTCTCAAAAACGTATCATGCGGATATTGTGTATGGTACCAGTGTACAGTGCAACCGCTTGGTTATCTCTACTCTTTTTTGAATCAGCTATTTATATGGAATTTGTTCAATCATGCTATGAAGCTTATGTTCTTTACTGTTTTCTACTTTTATTAACAAAATATCTTGGTGGCCATCGAGGCGTAGAAGAAGCAATCGCAAACAAAGAGTACATTAAATTACCATTTCCATTCGGATATTGTTGGAAACCAATAGCAACTACAAAATGGGTTTGGTATTTTAAAATAGGCATCCTTCAATATTCATGGATTACGCCAATCTGTTCAGGTATAGCTGCTGTTTTAAATTTAGCAAATGTTTATAACAATGGTCAATGGAATTTTAAAAGTGGCTATCCATATATTACAATTATCATTAACATGAGTCAAATATTAGCTCTTTATGTTTTAATAACATTCTACATTAATATGAAGGCTGAATTAAAACCATTTCAACCAATGGCAAAATTTATTGCAGTAAAACTTCTCGTCTTTTTTATCTTTTGGCAATCAGTTTTAATGAGTGGTCTTGCAACTATTGGGGTACTTCGAAATACTAAGTGCGACCCGACAACTAACACTTATTGTAATGGTTCAACAACCGGATTTACAGTTGAACAAGAAAAAATTCTGTTAGCGAATATCTTGATCTGTGTTGAAATGTACTTTTTCGCGATCGCTCACCATTGGATTTTTAGTTGGAAACCGTATGCAAATGGAAAATATGCAGAGCTCATGAAATCTCGACAACCTCAAATCATATACTCCAAAGACAACGATAGTAGAGATGGTGTTATGATACGCTTTTAAAATTTTATCCTTTAATGTTATTTTTATCAAGACAACAAAGGCAATTTTGTAGTGAAAGAAAGTTTATTTGAAAATGTAAAAGTATCTATACAGTTAGTGGCCGTGATTAATAATATGTGATTTTTTGAAATTTTTCAATAAATATTTTTGGGCTAGAAAAAGTAAAAATCCTACTCGCATATTTCTCGCTCATTGGATCCGAAAATATGCCCATAAACAACACAGAATAACTTGGATGCATATGCCTATTGTGAAGCCAGTGGATGGATAGTACTCGAAAAACTTTTCAATCGCAAAGATGCTTTAGTTTATTTATTTTCAACTAAAAATTTGATTCGATGGTCCTGTTGTTTTAAGCGTTCTTGAACAGTCGAAGATATTTGATTATTCGATAACATCAACTCCTGTAATGTCTACGAAATAGAATGAGGCAACTATTCAGTCAAGAAAATCAAAAATCAAAAATAGATTGATTACCCTATTCTTTCGAAGTGAATCAGCAAAATGTTGTGCACATTCATCATCGATTTTATTATGCTCGAGATTGAGTATTATCAGTTTCTGCGTGAAAGAGCAAATAAGATGTTGTAGAAACAAGCACTTAAAACAAATTACCTTGTTCTGTAGAAGAACATCGGCCAATAGATGCCCTCCTATATTACTAATTTCATTGAATCCCAGATCGAGTGTCGTCAACGTCTTTGTACGATAGACACACAACATGATCTAATGAAGAGAAAATAAAGGACTAGAAGCGCTACCTTGTTGCGCCGAAGGACGTCTGCAAAATATTGTGCGCCTGCATCGCCAATGCTATTGCCTTTGAGATAAAGTCGGCCGCCAAGACTTAGAACTTTTATGGCCTATATGAAAGAATCTTCAATATGGCGAGTTGAATGAAAAGATAAAGTCTTCTACCATGTTGTGCCCAAGAACATCAGCGAAATATTGGGCTCCTTTATCGTGAATCTTATTTGACTGGAGATGTAGTGTAGACAGTGTCTGCATAAAAGAGAGAATGAAGCGTTGTCACGCCTTATAATAATTGATCAATTACTATGTTGTGTAGAAGAGCAACAGCAAAATGCTCAACTGCACTATCGCTGATTTCATTCTGTCGAAGGTCGAGTGTTGTCAGTGTCTTTGTGAAAACAACAATGAAACATTGAGTAATACGAAAACAATAGAGATATTACTGAATTATGTCGAATTGCACCAGCGAGATGCTGTGCTCCAAGATTTTTGATTTGATTATGTTCGAGATTGAGCACTGTCAGTTTCTGTTTATGTGAAAATACTAGTGGCATACCAATCAACTAAACCTTAGATGAAATACCTTATTCTGATGAAGAGCATCGCCAAGATGTTGTGCTCCAACAGTGCCAATTTTATTTACTGCAAGATTGAGTGTCTTCAGTGTCTATGAGAGAGAGACAGTCGAGATATACTGAATGCTTAAATGAGCAAACTTGTTACTGAGTTTTGTTTGAGGGCCTGACCTAAATATTCTGCTCCTATTTCACTGATTTGATTTTCGAATACATTGAGACTTATTAGTGTCTATGTAAATAAAATGGTGAAATCAGTAGGATACGGTAATTTAAAAAAATCCCCATTACTGTATTCTCTTTAAGTGCATTAGCGACATATTCTGCACCCATATCACCAATTTGATTTGATCCAATATCCAGTGTGGTCAATGTCTATTCGATGATGAGAAAGATGCATTAGAGTACTGGATAAAAACAATTGAGTCGAATTTTCACCTGATTTTCTCGAAGAGCATCAGCAATGTGTTTTACTCCTGTGTCGCCTATGCTATTGTATCCAAAAAATAGATCACCGCCGAGATTAAGTGTAGTTAATGTCTATTAAAAGCAAATAACAAAATGTTCAGAAGCCGGAGAAGATGATACTCATTACTTTATTATGTCGAAGCACATCGGCAAAATATTCAGCTCCTATTTCGTCGATATCATTCCCTTTGAGATCGAGAGTTAATAGTGTCTGTATGAGTAATGAAACGTATGCATGCTTTCTTTAATTTCAAAAATTCTAATCATGTATTTCAAGTGGATGATGACATTGTGAGATCAGTATCGTCTAGAGAAGGAGTAAATGAGAATATATTTAAATGTACCTGATTCTTTGTCAAGGCTTTTGCTATGAGAGAAGCACCAACATCTGTAATTTTGTTCCAGCTCATATCTAACTCGATACATTGTTTTCGCACGAGCGATTCGTCAATAATTCGTTGAACATCCGCATCGGTCAGCTTTTGAACTTTCTTTTCTAGATCAGATGAGTGCTCTTGCTTTTGACTCTCTTCGTTCTGCGTTGTCGGTGATTGTGAAGCCGGCTTCATCTTTGCATTGATATGACAGGTTTTTTTCGCAGTACTTGTTACATGCGACGGTAGGATAGACGGAGCATGAGGAAATCGATTTTGTATTTCTTTCAAATGAATCACATGGAGCGCATGATTCATGTCAAGCGTTGAGATGACTTCGAATTCTGCACCAGGCATGAAGACGATTTCATCTTCCGTGTGAGAAAAAGAATGTTCTTTAATATTTTTTCCAGTCTCACAATGAATAGACAACAATGTTCTTGTATCTGTCTGACCAAAAAATGGTGCTTTTTCGAGTAGGTGTATGTGAGGTGTACAAGACGAAAATCCAGCCCAAATAAAACAAGAACCTACTCGATAATATTGTCGTAGATCCTTTTTTATTCCACGATAGACCTGCTCTCCGGGCGTCGATGGAATTTTAGCTAGAGCAGTCATGAATAGTCGCAAGTATAGAAGCCAAGGAGGTATAAGCTTTTCGCGATTTATATCGCGCAGAGTTTTATTGAGGGCGTGATAAAATGAGCATTCTTTCGGGATCCATTGCATAGAGTAGAGCATAATCGAGGCGGATTCATCATTAGTCAAGCCATCTTTCGGCTCAATGAGATTCCTTCGAACAGCATCGACCATGTGTGCGATTTCTGGAACGTGCGGAATCAGAGGATCTGTTGCTTTTTCAAGTGAGACTAATGGCATGATTTCATAACCTTGTAGTTGAGAAAATGTCTCTCGTGATTCTTCGACAACATCGGCGAAACGAGACCAATCGTGCGCTACATGTTCATATGCTGAAGCCATCTCGAAAGTATAGCCTACACAGTAAAAACATAAAAGACATCTACTCTAGTCTATATTCATATATTCTTGTTTTGCACAAGAATGATGATCGCTGTATAAAACAGAAAAATATTATTTCTTGATTGAAACTAGAGTTTCTCATTGTTTGAAGACTATAGAAGCAAACAAATTATTGATAAGTTACTCAGAAAAAAAAAGAAAGCAAAATTATTTCCAAACTACTATAATACATCTAGAAAGAGTATTTTTATTGGAGCTGACACCAGATTCGATATAACTGTAGGAAAACGTGAGACGAATTTTGAGTATTTAATGAAGAACTTCAATAGAATATTTTATTTCACCAAAGACACATTACTCATTCTGACACTTTGACTTCCAAAATGAGCAGACAAAATCTATTTTTTTAAAATGAATACATAAACACTTGTTCAGTACGAAGTAGAGTTTTCAGTCATGCGTCCGCACAGGTATGATTTATTACCAGATGAGGCAAAATGTATTCTTACTTGTAAAACAGATGTGGCAAATTGAATGTAATTTTATTTACTACATTCATGCGCAGATTTTTAAAAGAGACGATGCTCTACAAAGAGCTTTTTACGCATCGAAGTAAACATAGGCATCTATATGTATGTACACTTCAATCATGCAAGTGAATAAAACAGAACGACAAAATGAACCACAAAATCATCATCGTCGTTTTATTTATATTGTAGTCACTACCAACGCATTACTGATGTTTACAATTAAGAAAGGTTTCGTTAGCAAATCATACTATTCCATTTTTGTATTATAATATTGTTTTCTGATGATGAAGCAACATATTTATTCTTATAAGTCATAGAACGTATTTCAGACCACATATTTTCATCGCGGCGCGACCGATTTTTATTTTGAAAGGCCATCATAGTGACGGCACGTCTTGTAATTGCGTTAGCTTGTCTTTTACAGCTCATCGCATCATTGCGGTGGTAGATTCTCATCCGCGATAGGCATCTCTGTTTCATATACGATATAAATTCAGCATATCAATCAATTCCTAGATGAGAAAATAGCTGAAGAAAGCTGGAAATAACTGCTCGTTTGCCATGCCATCTTTCATGATGTTATAATTTCAATGTATTAGCTTTTAATACCTTGTTTGCTATTGGCATTTACCGTGACTACAGTCTTTGCCATGAAATAGCAGATGAACGTGCCACCATTGAACTCATTGGCCTATGGAAGAACTTTCTTTACTAACTAAATACTCTGTATTGATACTAACATCCTCAATCGACTATTTTGTCGGTATCTTTCACTCAATGTGATTGGAGTTTGTTTCACGGATTTTGCAATACTGTAGAAATAAATTATCTTGCTGTAGCTGACGTAAAATTAAAAAGAAAGAAGCCGTATGGTTTAGTTAGTTCTGTATTTTATCGTACGATATATATATATATATGAATCTTCATGATGCATAGCTCATATAAATATGGTGACTGTAACGAGATATAATGTGAGACAATAATTATGTATATCAATAGAAACAAAAGCATAATTTCAAATCCTGGAAACTTCGAAGTAAATATCGATCAGACGATGTGAATTTTGATTCAATTAAATTTGAAATATCATTATCGGTGGTCATGTTTCAACTCAACGAAAAATTTTCTGTTTGGGTTTCATTTAGTACTGTAACAGACATATCGATACATAATTAATGACTTTGATACTTAAATTGGAAGATTTTAATCTTCGTTTTGAAAATCAATAACTTGACTTCGAGGTAATAGCCTCTACCTCCAGATAAACACAACTTCTCTTATATTTCAAATGAAATCATGAATCTAATTGACAAAAACAAAGTAGTAAACACCATCAAATCTCAACTTGAAGTCTGTACGAATCTTGACAATTCAGTACAACTCATTTGAATAGGATGTGGCGTACATGTTTTGCACTTCACGAGTTGAAATGATCATAAGAAACAAGGCGTGATCTCCTCGTTCAGTTGAATATCAATGTATTTATTTCATCGAACAATCAACACGATAAAAAAATTACTAGGATTAGTCTTATCATGTATTTGTTCGAATTTTCTTTCCTTTAAGCACTTTGAAGAAGAATAACAATAAAAAACGCACTCAGTGAAACAAGATTTTATTTTTTTGAAAAAAAATGCAATCGTGCAAAAAGTTTAAAAGAAAGCCTATTTATTTGCTGCTATTTGTTGTTGAATTTTTGCGATAACTTCACGATGAATTTCTAATTTCTTTTCTGTATCTTTCATCAATGCTGCTAAACGTTTTCTAAGCGAAAAGAAAGAAAGAAAAACAAATAAATTATTTATTAGATTTAAGTTAAAATACTTACAATTCACCTTCACAATAAACAAGTCGTTTTTCAACTGTTTCTTTGCCTTCACCTAATTCTTGTTTCACAAGTACGGGACCAACAAGCTTATAAATAACAGAATCAGAATCAAGATTTTCAAATTCCTGTAAAAAAAGTATTGATAGATTTTATTCAAATTTTAGTTTTTTTGTCTTACTTGTTTGACGAAATCATTCTCGGTTTTTGTTATAAATAATTGTTGTTGTTGTGTTACAAATTTTTTCATCTCTATTTTTAAAACAAGTAATTAAATAACAAACCAACACGAAAGAAATAAAATATTTTACCGTTTTGTGTTAGCCGATATTTTTCGACTTCATCTTCAAGCTTTTTATTAAGATCAGGTGCCATTTTATTCTATCTAGAATTCAAATCAATATATTAAATAGAAGTCGATGATATTTATGCAAATATATGTTTCAGTTTAGTATTTAAATAAATAAAATAATACTTGTCTGCTTGCATTTTTAGAAATACGGTTACCCTGTTTAATTTATTTAACAAATAAATCTCTCTAATTGTTCCTCTAAAAGATTTAATAAAATCAATAAATAAATACCTATCCGTAATGTCAATCAGCGGATCCAAAACTTTTCCGGGGTGCGATGAAACTCGGATAGAGATAGAAATCTGTTTCAGTCGCATTCTCGAGAAAAAAATAAATCTTTAAGAATTTATTACTATCGCATCTGACCTAGTTTTACATTCTGTATTCAATGAGCAACCGAAGTTGGCAGCGTTTGGACGAATTCTTATACCTCGCGCATAATTTAATCTCACAGTATCGGTCATGTATAGATTGTGTTCAAGAAAAAATGATTGGCTAACCTAAGTTATTCATGCAGCTCTTATTTCCGTTGTTAATTTCGACCTGGTCCCATATGGGCTAGGCTTATTCTACTCAAATCTTTCATTAAAATGATGAAACTTGCATGGCACACTATTTTTGTCGGTTTCAAAAGTTAAACTCAATCGATACTTCCTACGGCAGATTTCAATAGAAGACTTATTTTCTTGAGTTTGTAAATAAATTTTATTATGACCCCGATTTATCGATTGACTTTTTGCGTCTTCATAACCATTTCTATCATTTTTTCACTGTAAATTTTTGTAATAGATACAGTATTCGCTTGAGAAAAGTCATCACATGCAAACATACTAATAATATTTCTTCCTTGAATTAAATTATTTAGATAAAAAAAACAATTAACGTTGCAGCCAAACATACTTCATAACTTTACTAGCATTCGCCTATGCATTGCTTCATCTATTACATTGTAAGCACTAGCAGAAGAAAACAGTTCGATTTTCAATATCCATTCATTGAATTCAACAAAAATCAATACATATTTAGTAGCACGTTTGTTTTACTTAGTTACTATTTACATTATAACATGAACTAAATGCTGTTCAAATTATTTCACCATAGTACGAGAGAAAATCGTCGATCATGATCTATTAGAAAAGAAAGATTTAAACTAATTTCAAATACAATAGTATGTTCTTACTATTTTTATGCGAATACTAAATCAAAATAATCATCAATTGAATATATCGTTACGAGGAAGAATTCATCAAAATGAAATACTAATGGTTGCTCATCATTTCGACGATTATTGGTGTCTGAGTTTCAACCAATCCAATGATCCATATTTTATTCTGACATATTGATTATTAATGACATCTGTTGATTGTCTTTCTCAATGTAAAATTAAAACTGAATTCAGTTGGTTGTTTTTTCTATAAACTTTGCTGGAACAATTAATAATTTAGAGTGCGACACGAACAAACTGATTATGAACAAAATTGGGTTGCTCTTCGGCAATGGCGCTTACGATCCGATAAATAAATAATGGAAGGGACCATTTTCCATAATCGAATTTGCGTTTATTTTTAGAAAATGTGAATGTAGGTGTTGGTGAATGCACTATCCACACTCTTATTACAATAATCAAGCGATATACAAAAACAGAAGGTTTTAACATTGAAAAAGCGATACAAAAGCGACTCATGAGTGATGTATATCAGCAATAGTGGCTGAGATGCGTTGCCAATATTGATAAAAAGACCTGCTAATCCTACTGGAGTTCTGGTGTAAAAGAATACATCATTAAAGCTCTCACGATAAAAACACCAAAACTCAAAAGTTTTCCAAACATAATTGGGGTCTACGAAAATTGGTCGAAAATTTTGTAATAGAAGAACAAAAACTTTTTCTTAAACGGAAACTCTAAGTCCGAAGTGTATCTTGAGGGTGAGGGTGTGGGTGAGGATGAGGTGGTCACCGTGTTCTCAAAACAAGCACCGTTACTGAAATAGTTAGAATGTCTTCTTCCTAAGTTCTAACCTATTTTCGTTTATTATGCATGCCTAATTTATTTGTCCGAATCACTATTTTCCTCTAATATTAACATGATAATGTAATTAGTGCTGGTTTCACCTTTACACTACAAAGTTCGGGCTGTTTTAAAAAAAAGCTTTTGTTCTTCTATTACAAAATTTCCGACCAATTTTCGCTCTCCCAAAAAAAAGATCCATTTTTTATGATTATTTAGAATAATGTTTTACACTGTTTTCTTGAACAATAATGTCTGTTAGACAACCACTAAAAATACAACGTG